CATGTTGTGGATTTCACCTTGAAGGTTTTCACAACTGATTGAACCGTTCCTTGCCACATACAAATCCAAATGTCTATGGCTCCATTGAGAAATCCAAAATACCGAACACCGTGAAAAGACCACACAAACACCGCTAAACCTCAAAAGAGTGTACAGAGGTAGATAAAACAATGTCTTGCTCTACAAACAGAGAAGATTCGACTTGAGTAATTAGATAATGTTGGACACCTGTTTCGCCTTGGGTAGAAACATAAACTTAGTGCTTTGTGCACAGTTTATATATTTCGTAAAGGTCCTTAGCATCAAAATAAGAATGCAAATAACTTTAATCTTCAACCCAGTCTCTGTTTATGATTAACTGGATTATCCTATTATTATCGTGAGAAAAGTAATTTGAGTTGCAGTTCTCTCAACCATAAATTGTGTTGGTTTAAGCTGTCTTGCTAATAGATGTGTAGCTGATGGGGCTTACCCTGCATGCAAACATCTGACAAGTCTAGACTGAAAACTCACCTCTCTACCTTTGTACATCAACTGGCCTGGCAAAGTTCAGTGTATCAAGCATGGGTCAGTTCTCAGATAAAAGACGGAATATATAGCAAATGTATGGAACCTGTATTTTTAAAACTTAATTCTACCTCACACTGCATTTATCTTCGATCCTAAGTGGAAAACGTGCTTAAAAAAGGTTTCCAACTTCTAAAATTATAATTCACCGATACATACCTAGCATCATCATGGTCACATCCAAGCAATCTGGGTCAAGCATGCTCTGCATACCGGTTGGCCTAAACATGCTAAACTGCTCATTCTCTTTCTAATGTGGTGTGACATGCTTTCAGATTGGGACTCAGATCTTTTCTTGCGTATTTACCTGGGGAATTTTCAAGTTCTTTAAGGCGTTTTCTTGTGATCGTATCGTGTATGATCAAGATTGTGACGTCCTGCTTGCTTGACATTCAGAAGAATGTTTTCGCCGTCTGATCCTCACGACATCTGCTTGTGCTCATTGTATAGATTTCCCTGTCAAATCTTCCTGTCTGCACAAATCTGTCTGCCTGCACAACTGCCACCCTAGACATGCTAAATAATCGAAGAAAACACCTTCCTAAAAATCTTCCCTGACATAGAAGAGTAGCACTGTTTTCCACCCTAGAATCCCCGTGTTCTCGATCAACGACGAGGATGTATCTGCAGCTTTCTGTTCTAACGTGACCCTCAACCAGGTTCAAAGAACTTTCCCCTGACCACTCTGGCAAAGGAGGTTCGGAATGTTTCTCAATTACCCTCCTCGTTGGTTTGTTGACAACTCTAAGATTCTGTCGTCTGAGGGTATTTCCACGACTGTAGCTTCAGTGGATCTCTCTATAGACGTCACTCATCATCTACACCTCACTGCCCTCGTCATTCATCTCATGAGAGATCTTCTCTTGATCACTCGTGTTACTAATGGACCTCGTCTTCCGATGACAGTTTGGGACCAATCGGGAGTTCTTCGATCGATCTACTTCTCATAATCTCTCATGCAAGGACTCTTCACGTTTTGATTCACATTATAAAGACATCACAAGTTCGATCGTCTCTTTTGGCTCCTTCTTCCTCTTCCTGTTGGCCAGACTCTCACTTACGGGAATGATCATGCCCCTATAACTATCATCATCAGCGTCACGATTTATCTTGCAACCCAGGTTCGTATCCTAATAACGCTCATGCTACTCACGACTGGGATCGCTATCCTCAGTTCATGGACACCCTTTCCCCTTGGCAATTATAATCTCATGATCCCACCTTAGCAGACTACCGTTCTCGACTGATCCTTACCCACAGAGACAACATTGCTTCTCTCCTGAGAATACACATGGCACTTCTGCTCCCTTACCAGGTTCTCTGTCTCCTTCTTCGGTTTGTCGTACCCCTGTTGCAACTGTACAACAATCCACGCTGACTTTACAGCCTTCCACATCGTCACTTCCTACTTGGCAGAATCCTACCAATCCTACTCAGCTTCAGTCGCTTTTACCACCTAGCTACTCCTGGTCGACTGACATCATCACAGGCTTTTACCAGGAGAGGTGAAATCCACCTGTGGCCAATGCTGCAATTTTTCAAGCAATTTCTCCAGGACGATGATTGTCAGATCTACAATGATGGCTTTTCCGTCGAATGTTTGTAAAGGAGTCTCCTTGTGCCCGTTTATTCCAAACCTACATTTCCTTGTCGTCTCACAGAGACAGTCAGCTTCACATAAACAACCTCAGAGAGTTCAGAGCAGTGATTCTTGTCGTGTCATATTGGGAAACACTCCTTCGCTCGTCCAGTCTGATGATCTAGTCAGACAACCTATCCTTCCTTTGGTACACAAACAAGATGGGCTCTACCAAGTCAATGTCACTACTGTCTTTGACGTTCGGTTTCTTTCAACTGATTGACTCAGCTTCGGCCGAGACACATCCCCATCATCTCCAACGTCATAGCCGATTCCCTGTCAAGACTCAACAAACCATCTCCCATGGAAAGGCGTCTACATTTTCTAATAACTTTCAGTTATTCCCGTGCCTAGATGTTGATCTCTCAACATGTTTCAATACCCCGGGTCATATCTCCCATTCCCGACCATCAGGCTTGATCACGACCCGTTTGCAATATTTTGGGAAGGCCTACACGTGTACACCTTTCCTCAAACTGGTGTTCCACATCGGCAGTCATCTCGCATTGCTTTTGGTTGCGCCCTATTGGCCAACTCAGAGTTGGTTGACCACGCTTTTCCATCTAGCAGACAGACGGTTTTACCATCTACGTCAGGATCGATCTACTCCTTCAACCAAACGCCCAGTTGCTTCATCCGTCACTCAACACCCTCCATCTGTGCTTTTGGCACATATACAGAAATCACTTTTTGCGAAGGGTTACACTTGAAGGGTAGCCAAATCGATCATCATTTGTCAACCAAATCCCTATAATACCATAAGTGGAAGGCTTTTGAGGCCTATTGTCACGTGTATTGTATTTCTTCAGCCCCTAACACTTTGCTGAATATATTGACCATCTCCGGTCATCCCATAAGCATAAGGGCTTAGCTACATATTTGTCTGTGATTCGCTCCGTCGTCCCAACTATTACAGGCACAAATGTCACCTTGGTGGCCGAATTACAATCATTGATTTGGTCATACAAGTTGACGGAGCAGTCTTCTAGCTTTCGTCCCTGACCTGGGATCTGAACGTTATACGAACCACTTGCTGAGAAAGAGTTTGTCTGCACTATCTTGAAAACGATTTTCCTCCTGGCTGTCGCACCAGTGAGCAAGATTCATGACTAAGACGTCAATAGTTTATTTTGGATGGACTTTAATTTGCATGGGAAAGGTTTCCGTGGCTAGAGATGGGATTTCATCGCCAAGATCAACTTCCAGGACAATCTAATCGGTTTATTTACTAGTCCACATTTGACTTCTATTTTGAATCCTAAAGATAGGGAAGACGTTAACTTAGAGTTAATCAACTCAACACTCTAATGAGTAAATAACCTCAAGGAGGTTCGATAGAAAAATAAACACGGGGGGATAATGCGTAAAGCAAGTCTCTTGAACAATAAAAGAGACGAAAACGCCTGAAAGAAAACTAGTCTTTTAGACTAAGGACTCAGTCACTTTTACTGGGCAAGGAAATTCTACTTTTCCAAAAATACAAGGTACTTGATCTAAGGTGTATCTAGACTCACAACCATCAAAATAGTAACTTGACTCCAAATAATAAATGGTTAATTGACCTCAACTCGACAAATCGCGGAAAGGTGGTTGTCTACGGGTTATTAGAAAAAACCTAGCTAAATACAACCAGAGTATGTTAGTACTAGATTAAAACTGCCCCGTACATACTTACGAACGAAACCTGAGATTCGAATGACCATCGAGTAGCACGACGACCCGTAAACGGTCTAGCGACCCCTGGCGGTAAGAACACATGATTTTGCCTACTTATCTTTACTTATATACGCGGACATTGGAGAGAACAACCTGTCCTGGTCTCAGCCTGGGTATGTAATTGCCAGAGTTGGGAAAGTGTGTTTCCTAACATTGGGAAGACCCCAATAGCAAACTAACTACTAAACCAATACGGAAGATGTAAGTACCCCAAAATAAAGCGCTGAACATAAGCTATCCAACGGTAGCGCTGAATATTTACCACAAGATATGTACAATTTATGGAGGTGGCAAAAATGGCCATAAATACATGATAAATATCTACAAGTAAAAGACAATCCCGCTAAGACGTGAAAATCAGAGTTAGAAGCTACATAAAACAACCATACTGAAGATGAAACCTGAGATGTGAGACGGGTGGTGAAATCAGGGCGGCTGCCATGCTCAAACATGATCATGTGCTGTAAACACACTGTGTTGTGAGAAGGCAACGGATCAAACAAGTCAGACAATGCCAATAGTCACATGACAAGTGTGTTAACTGAACGTTGTCACACTCAGACCTTTATCAGCAGCAGTAGCGCTACAACACTGACACATCACTAATTAAAAATATACACTATATATCAACAGATTTACCGAGCAGTGGCTACAGGAAATAAAGATACAGGACAGTGTTCGGAAACAAGACATACTCATAGGGTTAAATAGCAGCATTTTAGTTGTACAAAATATGGATAATTTTTTGTTCCTAAACTTTTACTATTATAAAGTTTGTTTGTTTGTTTGTTTGTTTGTTGTTTAACGCCTCACACGGCAATATTCCAGCTACATGACGGCGGTCTGTAAATATTCGAGTCTGGACAGACAATCCAGTGATTGACATCATGAGCATTGATCTACGCAATTGGGATACAATGACATGCATCAACCACCCGATCTCGTTAGTCGCCTCTTACGACAAGTATAGTCGCCCTTTACAGCCTGCATGGGTTGCTGAAGACCTATTCTAAACCGGATCTTACTATCATAAAGCAAATTCATTTTGTAAATATTTGGTGAAATGTAATTTTTTTCTAATTAGCTGTTTTCTCTCATTTTGAAATAGTGGACAGATAACCAGATATTGGAACTCATCACCTAACTAAAATGATTGACTTCATAGATATTTTCTTTCCGTTAAAGTTATTTTTTTCCATCTTACCTTTTCAATTGGGAGATTGAGATTGGAGGTTCTAAATTTTAATAAGTCTCGCCAAATACATACTTTCATATTTAAATCATTTTCGAAATTCAGGGATTCATTTTAAACTATGGTATACGTGGCTCCTTTTGAATATTTATCTAGTGTGGCTTTCCAGCATTGTAAATTGGCAAAAAAATGTGTAGGAGTGTCCCTCAGTGATATGGCAGTGCTGCCGTTCCGGCGATTCTGACATTCAACCATCCCTTGTCCTGAACGTATCGCCATATATCACAGAGGGCCATTCTTGGTGACAGTGTATCGCCACCTGGCAGAGATATTGGATAAGGTATTCTGTACGAGATCCTATGCTATATACGAAGCACGGTCCCATTGAAGTCATCTCAACGTCATATTTGAACGACGACAGTGCTGACGTTGACGTCCCCACGTGCGATTATAAGGCCCGGTTGTACGTTTGCTTGTCTCTCCGGGAAAGGTGGCAAAGCGAAACCATCTATCTCCAGCTAAAGAGGAAAAAAGGTCAAAAGTATTAACTTCAAAGTCAAAGTGAGTTTAGTTTAAAGCCGCTCTTAACAGTATTCCAGTTATACCACGGCGTGTCAGATTGATTTGGGTTTTTAATATGCAGTCGTTTCTCACCTTAACGAAACCCACGAGCACGGGTATGGGGCTGATAACCCTATATAACGAAGCGTTGTTTATTTCACGATAAAACATTTTCTATCATGAAGTCATTTCTGGAGCTTCGAACATGCGCACGCAACATGATTATGTCGTATATTTGACGACGGTACTTTTGAGAGATGAGTGCCTAGTGAGTTGTTCCCAATAGATGTAGCTGGGCAACGCAGATAAACGTGATGGCCAAAAGATCGTATCAAAAGTGAGAGAGATATGGCAATCGGTATTGGGAGAAAAGGTACAGGTAATCGACGGAATGTGAAACTATGCGGGAAATACCCACCTGTGCATAAAATAACTTGTCCGCTTATGCAGAAGTCGGATTCTATTCAGGGAGTCATCAATATTTAAATAGGGGATGCTATGTTTAAAGCTTGTATATTTCATTAACATCCTTAAAGAGGCTGTACATAATGTTGATATCTCATATCAGAAATATACGACCCGTGGTTGTTGTTTATTTTTTAAATAACCGTAATGAGGCGAATTTAGGATTCCAACCCACGATCAAAGGTTTCTGGCACGATTAAACACAACAGCCTCAGACGACGGAATCAATTTCAAAATAAATGAAGTCATATTACGCAACGCCGCTTAAAGAACTTTACAGCTTTGTTGGGCAATATGGCCCATGGATTGTCTTGATTCTGAATGTGTCATTTCACGCTCAATCGCTTGACTTCAAGATAACCTTCGTCTACACAAACACTTTATTCATCCGAAATCAATGGATTGTTCGCGGTTATATTGATTCAAACCAGCGATTGCTGGATGTATCCGAACCAGGAGACGCGGATAGGAGAGATCACTGGGAGAGATGCTAAACCAGTTGATGTTAGCAACTTAACATGCTGTAACTCATAGATTACGCGTCCGCCATGTGCGCTACATTCACTTAGTCATAACGTAACAGTTTACCTGCTTACTGCTAAGCATAATTTGATTTCGTGAAATCTGTTCATTAGTTCATCTAGATAGTGGTTATTTAATGACAGGTATATCTTCCGGGGTCAAAGTTCGTCCGGAGGCACGAAATGTTAGATCATTATGTTAGATCACTACAACAGAAGCCGAGATTATGGTCATGATGAGCGGATGTTGACATGATACTTGAGATAGGTATTTACAGTTATGTTATATAGATCAATCTTGATGTGCGTGAAACACCGTGACTTATGTGTGTGTTTGTGTGTTTGTTGTTATTACAAAATTACAACAACAACAACAACAACAACCAAAATAATTGAATAATTGCATATGGACCAGGCAAACAAGTGGTTGATATCATGAACACCGCCCCCCGCCGTCGGGGCACGATGATACGCAATTAACCAAGCCATCGAGCCTGACGACCGATGCAATTTACGACAAGCCGAAAAGTGCCGTGGTATTCTAACCCGTGTTCTAACATGAAGCCAGCTTTAAAGCAATACCGTGTAAACGCCTTCCTTGAGTTGGACTTCTATGTTAAAGTCCTGGCGGGGTGGTAGAATCATCGCTGATACATTCACGGCCGTGCTCCATGTTCCCCCGAAGAGTGTATTGTATGAGATGCTGTTTTTGTCAACCGTAAACCCTACATGGAACGTAGAGATTGACCAATCTTCTGATCGAGTTGATATTTCCATTCTGAAATAACAAATAACAAAAAGGATACATTTCAATCTATCAACGAAGTTATATCGGGAGTAACTGAAGACCAAATCAGTTCATTAGCACTACGGTCTGCTCAGTAAAATAAAGGTAAATTAACAGTATCACACAGTTTCAATGTGGCAATTAGGATATGAACCTTCTGTGTTTTGAAATTTGATGTAGTCCCACTGTTGAGTAGATACCTCTTTATTTAAATTTTGAACCGGGCGCATCATCGAGGCAGTCAGGATTGCGGCCTAGTCAACGCCCAAGACAATCCGATATCAAACTACCGTATTTCCTCTATTTGACGCTATGTGGCCCCTACACAAACTGTTGACGTATTCTTACGTTAGTTCCACATTGTCAAGGCAAGATAAGGACAGATGGATATTTTTGGAGTTGATATCATATCTTGCCGCTTGTTATTCTCTCGAAAATATTTTGTATGAAACATTAAATTTTAAACATTAGATATTTTTACGATTAGCGTCCCCGTATGTAGACAGCTTCTTCGGTAATAAATAGAACATAACGTTCTCTCATGTCGGAATTTAGACACTCAAGTCGTAACATAGTATGTCATAAACACGAGTATAATGTCCTCTATTTATTACTTGCCCGTGAATAGATCACCTGTTTAATAAACATACAACTGTATTACACATTGTCTAATTCCTGAACGCGTTCTTATGTACTGTCGGGACAATGTTCACGAACTAATATTGAAAGCTCTCAACATCCCTTGGCTTATTCAACGACATTGCGTGTGGAGATGATAGATCACTGAGAGGAGCTCATGCTCATCCATATAAAATAAATTCTAGAAACGGAAAGAAATCTAAAACGGCTGTTTTTTGGAACCAGGCGGAAGCTCAACACAGACAGGGATAGCAACATCCCAACCACATGACCGCATCCGGAAGTAGATGTGAAACTAAACGAGGGAAGGATTTTGATCAAAGGACTTAAATTTACACCAACTCCAAGTAGGGATAATGTGAGAACCTCAAAGTGATATCAATGGGTTTTGCCGGGTCTGTTGTCACTATGGACGTTATAAATTACAGGAAAATGTCTTCGGATATAATCCATGACCAGGACAGTTACGAAGTTACACATAATGCCAATGTTCATAAAAAACTTACAACTTTTCTCACTTCATTTTCAAAAGAAATCACTGAAAAGGAGTCAGATTACCTCACAAATGTTGTTTGTTTTATGCTGTGACCCTTTGAAGACAACGAATTAAACCTGTTTTATGACATCTTAAAGAATTTGAACAAACATCTGGGTTTTACCATGGACTTCAGTTACTCTGAAAATACATTTTTGGACACTGGTAAAACTATTTGGACGTGATCTAGAAACAGAAATGTACTACAAACATACAGATATGTAGCAATAACTACATTTTTCATCTTGTCACCCGACATACAAAAAAGAGCATTCCCCAAATTTAGCAAGGCGTATCTGCATGATTGTGTCAAATATATCTACAAAGAACATACGACTTGCAGAACCGAAATCATACCTACAATCCCGCGGATGCCCGATTCTACTTGTTAAAGATGGGATAAAGAAAGCAACTGCCACAGACAGAAAGACACTGTTGAAAGTGTGTGAAAAATTAATAACCCTGTTAATATAGCCTATGTATTGACGCGTAATCCCAAGAATTTTGGAAGTTTGGAGATGCCAAGCCTATCTGAAAATGACCGCTTGAGAGCTATTTGTATGCTCCAGTAAGGAACGTCGCAGCGTGAATTGCCAGGCGATTGAACGTGCACCGAAACACCATGTGGGCGTTAAAGCCGCAGCGGTGGCAGCAAAGAAAACAACCGACCAAGGCATCTCCAAACTTCAAATAGTGATTGCAGTTTGTTGTTTTTCCGTGTTGCAGTTGGCAACACGCTGGCTTTTATACCCTGGTTTACATCATCAATTGCATGATTGCTGCTTAAGAGACACTTTTTGCCATCAGATCCATCTTGTTGTTTTAGTGACACCGTTGTCTGTTTCAAAATATGAATTCTTTCAGATGTGCGCGTATACTTTGATCAGGTTTTTGTTTTATGTCGTGTCTCAAGAACTTTTGTTGCTGAGTATATATAGCTTAAAAACTCATGCCATCCCTCCACACCCCGTATATAAAATGATACAGAAATTATTTCTCCTGTTTCATGGACAGAAGGCATCCCCTTACAACATAGTAAAATTCCAGGAAAATCTAAGTTGGGGAAAATTGTTTAGTTTGGGTATGATCTTAAGGGGGTAAATCAATATAAAATACAATGTTGGATATCAAATGAAAGCTGGTGTTACAAGCAGTCCTTGTGTATCTATGGTTTGAATCTATTTTCCATAAAAGTAAAATAATCATCCTTTGGAAAGGAAATGTGGGAAAAACACATATATCCATATTTATTCATCTAATAAGTTAACTATATTTATTTAATAATGATAACAATTGTTTATTTGTTTGAAAACCTTTTAGAACATTTCCTTTTTAAAACTTACATGTCAAGTAAAGGTCTTCAATAAATGTTGAGAAATATAAGTCGCACAGAGCTTGTATCATACCTGGGCCTGGACAAGAAATAGAACTTAGGTAAATCCCAGAGGTTTTTTTGTAAATGATACAGTGAAATATATTCCAACAGGGACAATGTGATGAAATGAGTTAATGTTGATTTATTCTGCTCCAAAATATACACTTGCCAACACAACTGCAGTCTTCTGACGTTAAAACCCCACACACCTTGCAGCCTACCAACCTACCTAGCTAACATTTCGAAAAACTTGTCGGTAAAAACTTTATCACTTGCTAGGCGCTGCCATCTTGTATAGAAGACGCCACACATGAAAGTCACAGGATATCTGGGATTTAACAGCCTAGGGCGCCGTTCCACTAAGCGGTCTTAGCGCTACGACTGTCGTAAGTCAATGTTAAATATGGAAGTTACGATCGTCTTAGCGCTAAGATAGCTTTATGGAAATTACCAGTCAAAATTTTAATAAAATAAACATCTCATCTCTTTAACATTGAGTGAGAATCTGGATTCAAATCCATGACCAGCGGATCTTAGTACGGCTAAGGGGCATAACTCCGTGTAGACTGCGGGGTAATCAGTGTCTCGTTAAGAACAGCATTTCTACTCGAAGTCTCACAGTGCATATTTTCAAAGGAAACGATTACAAAGTAATGAAATAACAAGATTATGTATACTAAGTCACATTAAGGTGTCAGTGCAGAATTTCTGACGACATGCTGTTGATATCACTAATGTTTCCTTACATGTTATCCGTCAGAACTCCTTGAAACGTCGCAGTGAAGCGTCTTGCTGGGCCACAGGGGAAACCTGCCCGGCCCTGTATGATAGCATAAAATAATCCTGAATCAAATATTGAAGGTTGAACGAACTGAAACCATGAATCAAGTATAACTGATGATCGTTTCGTATGAGTGAGTGGGTTGGTTTGACGCCGCTTAGAACAGTATTCCGGTTATATCATAGTGTGTCAGCTTCACCTGGGAGGAAATTGATGCAGGTCCTAAACCTTTACCACTCATGAACACGTGAATTAGGTGTGGGAGTTTGTACGGAGACTAGATATGCTTCAGCTACAGCTTCAAAACCAAACATATTTTTATTAAACTCAGAGCCGAAATATTTTCGGGCAGACAATATTGTCAACAGCAGAAAGTGCACTTTTTTTCAAGTTCTTTAAGGGACAAGGTATCTTTTTCGATAAAATTTCGAACACACAAATGTCATGTTTCTCTCTATATTTACGTATTTATATATGTTATTTACACAGTTTAAGCCAACGGTAATGCTAACACATTCATATATATGTTTCACGCCAAACCGGACTCATTTTCATTTCGTAGGTAGGCTCGCGTGATGAGAATTAATTTTACTCACTGTGTTTGCCTGAAATCGCATCACATTACGATCATAAATGTCATATAGAGAATTTCAGAAAGAAATACATCTTTTTGACTGGAATCTTTTGCAATCGGAATTATTGGATCAGTATAGTTTGCATGTTATAGATCCGAAATAGGGCTAATTTATAATAAGGTTGATATCGTTGTTGCAAAAAAAGTCATTCCTCACGGTATTTAGGAATCTGAAGCGTCCACAGACGTCAGTCACTTTCTGCCACATGCCGGTAGATGCCTGGCACACGCTTATGGAATTCATGTGACAGGACCGGAAGTCGTCTGTGCACGTGTACTTAGCCTCGGCTCCCATGTAATGGCCATCATACTTTACCTCGCTGTTTGGTACCACTGGAGGCGGTGAGCCACAACCTTGGAATTCTGCATGGAAAGGCGGACATTAACTGTCGGATAATGTCTCTGTGATGTAACAATATGTATTACAAGGCATTTGTGCATATCTCGTCAAGAAGATGAGATATGGTTAGCGAGTGCCGTCGCCACGAATGACAAGACAAAATTAGTTTTGTATTCACTTTAATATACCAGTAAATTGTGTTTTTTTAATACTTCCCTTTAATATCCAAAATCGGGTTTATATTCGTATATTAGGCACTGTCTTCTATCAATTCTCATTCCTGCTTCGTAATAACCATGTTATTTGTGCCACCTACGTACGGTGTTTCTTCATATAGAGTTTATCCTTACCTTTGTGACAAGCTGGACTGTCGAATCTGTTTACTCTGCATCGGTATCCAGGTGGACATTGGACCACCGAGCAAGGGCCAGACAGGGCCTGAATAAAGATATCACCATATCACTGCAATATCGACACACCAGTGGCGATAACTGGCCATAACGAAACATGTAGAACGAGACGACTAGGTGTCAGACCATATGATATTCAGGTTGTTCCAAGCAATACTAGAACATTGTTCAAGAATCGAACACGAACCTTCAGCGTGAAGAGCGAAAGTTTTAATCTTATGTCCATGGCATCCCACCCCTCAAATGTAGTACGTGTAGCAGTAATACGTTACGATAGACACTAAGGGTTCACGCATTTGCCGATGCAGTAGGAAAATAGATGTTATCGATTCTAGTTTAAGGGCAAAATACGGTAAGAGTTTCCCTGCAGCAGCTGGGTATAGTCACTCGCGTGATGACGTTGACGTGCAGTGTTCAATGACTGTGTTTGGCCATTTGAGGTCTTCGCATTATACAGGTGAGCAGATTTTCTATCTTGTACTTATGGAGCAAAAGACAACTTCTCCGTCATCTCAAATCAAAGCTTTTAAAGAACATTCAGCCTGACAGACCAAGAGAATTCTGTTGAAGGTTACAAAACTTTTCAATTGTTTAAGGAATATGTGGATTTCTAACTAAAAAATATTTAAACTTACTATTATTGAAGAATCAAAAGAAAATCGCGTTCTGCCTTTAAAAAAAGCTTGCAACGAATCTGCGATACCGTTTTAATTTAAGGATATTTTAAGGAAATCAGTTGCAGTATAAATTCAATTATGGTCTTTCGGAAAATGTAGATTCAGCCCTCAGATATCTCAAACATCATAAGTATTCCGAATGTTCAGATTCCCTTGAGAGTCTTGCCTCCGACATCAACAAGCAAAACAGGCATATCAGAAAATATCACAGATCCCTGTCTAGTTGGGTTGTAGTTGCGGAACTGGAGGAAGATGACATTGCTTCTGGGTCAGATGAAGAACGTCGCTTCGAGAAGGCAAAGTTCGCCCCGTAAGCGTCGTGCAGCAACTTACAGGCCTCGTGACAAAGGTTTCCACAATGCTCCTTCTGCATGGGATACATAAGATGTATAGACGGCAGTAGATCAAAGCAAGGAGTAGTCAACGAATATTTACAGGTGACGAAACGTTTACATCTTTGGGTTTTTAATCGTATTATAGGAGACTGGTTGTCTATAATCGTGTTGAGAGTTTTTTCAGGACAGATATCGAATGTCCAATAAAGCACAGTTTGGGGATGTCTCCAATCTCGGAGGTGCAGATCAAGACTCTGAGTCTGAACGGTCAGACATATTTATGCCTAATCAATTTGAAATTGCGTCAGAATCTTCTGCAATTGTGAAAGGTAGTTCAAGGAGGTGTATTTCAGTTTGGAGGAATATTGATGAACCAGAATATAAAATTATCAGAACTATTCAGGAAAGTTACCTTATCCCAATCATTGATATCCCATCTCGTGCACACAGTATGAAAACTAGCTCTGCTACTAACAAATAAAGAGTTTGTTCATCGTTCAGACAAAAGAAAGGTTGATTTTAGGGATTAGTAAAGCATTATTGTCCAGAAAGAATAAAAATGTTTTTAAAAGTTATAAATTTGCACTTCAAGTTTTATTTAAAGTCAAGTTACCATCACATTGACATTCGCCCTCGTCAACATATTTTTCAAGGTGCCAAGGTGTTGTAAATTTTTAATGTTTCACAGATCTTCCTTTTGGTCTCACTTCAGCTTCTTGCATCTTCACGAAATGGGATGACCCATTGGTCAAGTACTGAAGAAAGCATTCCATCAGAATAGTAGTTTACCTGGATGGTGCTTATTCGGTGTCAAAGGCTTTATGCACTAAACACACATCTATAGTTAAGGAAACTTACGAGAGTTAGTTTCGTTCACAATGTAGAACAATCTGTATGGAATCCTTAGATTAGACTAGACTGGATTGGCTTTCTCTTGTATCTAGATTCGGGTATCCTATCTGTTCCTTCTATTAAATTTGAAGATGTTAAGAATACATTCGCAGGGTTCCTAACATGCCTTCCATGTTTGACAGCAGGAAGCTTGGTTAGTTTGAGAGGGAAGATCATATCTCTGTCTCCCGTTCGGGGAGATATGTGCAGGCTTTTGACAAGACTCATGCATACAGAAATTCAGAGGGCAGTATTGTTGGACAGAATGGTTAGGTTAGATTATCCTGAGTGTGCATATGAGCTTATGTTTTGGAGCAACAGTATATTCATTTTGAACTGCCGGACTCTGCATAAGCATTATGCTCTATTGACTTCAATATTTTCAGACGCCAATGATTTGTGCTGTACTGGTTAAATAAAAAAAATACTGATCACGTTTTCCAATACAGCTGGGATTTGGTTCAAGCTAAGTGACTGGCTTTGTCAATTTTTGTTACAGCTGGTTTGTACAACATCACACCGAGGTTGAGTTGGATCTCAAGGTCAGACATTTGGAGAGCTGATGTGAAGATTCATATGTTTGGATAGTTTTCATGATCCTGGATCCAAGATGGGGACCACATTCAGTGGACAGATTCACAAATCACATTGATACAAAGTTGGTAAGATTCAGTTCCAGACCGTGGGTTCTTGGAGGCAGTCGATGCATTTACACAGCAGTGGCAAGGGGACAACAACCGGACTATACCACTTGTACATCTAGTTTTTAAAACAATCATTTTTTACAAGTTACAAGACTCCTACAACTATGATTGTACCTACGTGGTCCTCTGTATCATATTGGCCTTGTCTTGTTTTGTGATTTTTGATTCATTTAACAGCTCAGGCTATTAGATTTTTCCTTATTTGATGTTGATATTGAACATTTGTTTGGAGTGGGCATCTGGTAAGAGAATGATTTCTGGTTCATAGGGAATTGATCAGTTTATCAGGAAATATGCCAGAAATAGTGTCAAACTCAAAAGCACCGGTCATACAGTAGAAGAGTGCTTATATTCCATGGAAAAAATGGAGTTCACATTTTCAAGAGGTGCCTTGATTAACAGCAAAACATTTTGATGTTGGTTTAGATCTCACGTCGCTTTAGATCTCACGTCTCCAAGAAGGTAAGAAATTGCAATCTATTGTTTCGGCAATCTACGGCACAAGTTGGGCACTTCAAGTGGCAAGTTTAACAGATCCATGTCAGTTCTCACACAAAATATCAGAGAAGCAGCACTGAGAAATTATAGTAATCCGGTCCAGAAGAAAGAGCCAACTGATATGGATATGCTGAAAAAAACTTGTTTGCGATTTAGGTAAGAAAAGTTGTTCCCTGTAAGGTTTAAGATTTCTGTCTATGTCCATCCTCTCGTATGCAGTTGTTTCATATTTTCTGAAGTTGTACATGTAACATGTGCAGACGTATCATTTCATAATGGATATGTTCGTATTTTCATTGAAAGAGGGCAAGGTAGATGTGTACAGAGGTAGAAATGTTTTGATTTCGGACTTGTCCAGTGACAAGTTTGGGTCGTTATTGGAGAGCTGAAAATATTTGCAGAATTCTGAGGAGAATATATTTTGTCAAATAAGCTGTTGCAAAACTTTAAGGCAGTTCAAACTGAAGCGAGAAAAGCCTCTGCCATATCTCGAGCGAGAGATATATTTCTTAAAGTTAATATGTTCTGCCGAAGATGTTTCACAAAAAATTGAATTACAGTTTCCATTCGGGAGTAACTCCTGCTGCAAACGCCGGGGTCACCAACATGCTGTTCAAGGTACATGCCTGCCGCAGCCGTGCATGTGAAAGTAGTGTCACGAAGTCACGTGAAGAAGGTGTATGTTCAATGACAGTGCTTAACATTGTCTCAAGGATATGAGGTCACAACGCATTGAAGTGTTTAGCCATGAGCAAGGTTGAAGCCATACTTTCATCTGAGTGATTTGGTGCGTTTGGTGTGATGTAGAAAGTTGCTGGTAAAGTTACAGTTGGGACCCAAAATTGAGTAAAGGAAAATATAAGACAAAGATACTTTAAATTAGCCTGCTCGCTTGTCCGCTGCGGTGGGCATGACCCTTGAGGTTTTAGATATTGTACATGGTAATTATATCATGTTCTTTTGAGCAAAACGAATAATAACATAATTGTTTGGCTCGTAGTTTCACAGATATAAATTCCATATCTTGAAGCTGTGACAGCAAACATATTATAACTCGAAAACTCCCAGCCCAACCTAGTAAATTACATTGTCGGACCGACTCCAGGCAGATATGGGTATTCTTTTGGGCATTAACATGCGTATTTTTGTTTTGTTTGTTGTTTGTTTAACGCTACATTCGGCAATATCCCCGCTATATGACGCCTATCTGTAAATAATCGAGTCAGGACCAGACAATCCAGTGATTGATATCATGCGTATCAATCCACCCGATCCCGTTAGTCACCCTTTTAGCAAGCTATTCTACCCCGGATCTTCACCGGTCAACATACGTCCAACAGGGCCTGACGTCTGGTCCCGTGAGAAGCGAAACACAAACCGAGTAACCACAGTTGCTTTGGAACAAAATTGATTTTCACCTTGTGTGAGTTTGTATTCAGATTAATATTTAATGTCATGGTCATTCGGTTCGTAATGCTACATATGTACACCATGCCAATTGTCTCGCTGAATAATATACTCACTGGAGATAGAAACGATATGAAAAACACTGCGTAATATAAAACTTTAGTATGATAAGTTTGAACTGATTGCAGCAAACGTTTGTTAAAGTCAGTTTGATGGCTCAAATGCGTAAAGAATGACTTTAAACGATTCAGAAAATGTAATTCATGTGCAAAACAATCTCCGATCGTGTAAGGGGATAGCGTCATGGTGTGGTGAGATGTCTGGCGTTCTCACTATGGCGTCATTGTTGCAAGTATACGTGCCAATGGAGGATATGCGCATTACTGACTGGTCTGTGATTCCAGCTCTTCCATTTGACTTTATTGTGTAGCATGCGTTGTAGTATGGTTTCAAAAAGAGATTATAATCTGAACAATCTGGTTTAGAGCTAACGACATCAAAATGGCCGATGCATGCCATCGATCAATGTGATATCAATCACTGGATTGTCTGGTCCAGACTCGATTATTTACGACCACCGTAATATAGTTGGAATATTGCTGAGTGCGGCGTTAAACAACAAACAAACCAAACCATGGTATCTGTCGGTGCAGACTTTGTGTCAGAGGCGAAACTACCATTGTAGCAGAAAAGCAATTATTGATTTACCTTAAATTACTACCCATGCAGTAAGTCATTAATTCAAACTCTACACTTGAAACTAAACTCAACTTGAAAAGCGGAATCTTTACGCGCTTAAGGATTCCAGTGTTAGATGGTTTGTACCATAAGCAAACGGCGCTCTCACTATTATATTCATTATTATGATAGGTCGGCTCACCTTCAAATATAATTATAACATACCCATCACATACTTCGAATGAATATGTAAAATCTCATAAAAGGAATATAATATAAGATAATATATAAATATTTCATGTTCAAATTTCATTGGTCATCATAGATGTATCTTGAATGAAAGTCGTAAATGTGTTGGTGAAACACACACAAACTACTAATAAAATGGCGGCGGGAGATATATGATGAATGGGTGAGGTGATACGATAACCGCAGCTAGTCACCTACAACAGGACATGCTATTTCTATCACCTCGTCATATGCCATATCATAAATGAAAATATAAGTCCTAATGAACTCACCGCAGGCCACAAGTCAATGTCACTGAAGACGAAGCCTTGTTTGAAGATGACGTTGGTATGTTTGCTGATGTTGCTGTTGAGGTGGCAGATGCGTGTCACCAGATCAAAGTTAAATGACCTGCAGGTAGATGATCTGAGGCACTCCGAAGAACAGCCATATATTGTGGAAGGCCGCACGATGTCAAATATATAGCCCACCATGGCACTATCCTGTTTAAGTAAAGAATCCGTGTCAAAACAGTTGCTACATGTTACAGGGGACTTCATAATTAGGAAAAACACAACTAAACACAGTGTCCCAAGAACCATCTTCCTCGCTGTGTTATGATGCATGTTATCTGCCAAGTTACAGCCAACGTTGAACAGCGGGTGTCTTAACAGCTTCGACGTCTCCTTGGCAGTACAAAAACATCCTTCTTCACACGGAGACCTTTCGTCACGGACTAAGCTTGTATACAAAGCAGTAAACTCATTAACTTTACATCGTGTTTGGTAGGATGAAGATTGCATACATAATTTCCAGTAATGCAATTGTCGCGCAGAGACGGGTTTGTTACTGCCACATGACAAAATTCAGACGCCTCCTCTTGTATAAGACGTTGTATAAGAGTCGCTATCAGAACTCGAGGTTCTAGCAAATGATCATCACATTACGCTCTGGCATTCATTATTAATGAACGCCTGTTGTACACAATGTCTTTAAAGAATGCAATAACAAAACATCCATTGTGATCAAACCCATGATGATCCGGGGTGCAATAGGTCTTCAGCAACCCATGCTTGTCGTAAAAAGGAAACACTTTTTTTTATTTCTTGGTTTACGGATGCGCCGCTCTTTCAAAGTCCAAATGCTAAAAAAAAAAAAAAAAAAAAAAAAATTACCTTTTTTAATTACCGCCGATCTTTTCGTCAAAAAGTTAAAAATAAATAAATTTCATTTCCTCGTCGAACGTAAAGCAAAAAAAAGTCACTCTGATATTTCTCGCTGGGATCGTTCTCTAATACCATCAAAGCTTGTTAACGCAAAGCACAGTGGTGACCAGTTTAACTCTTTCAACACTGTTGGCCGGTCAAGAAGCCACGAGTCACACCGCAGGGTAGACCGACCAATTCACATCAAACTGCTTTATATTTTTATTAACCTACTTGTCATATCATTCATTTATTATTATCTATCACATTTCACAATGTCTTAAATACGTATTCCATCTGATTTTATCATTTTTTATCTGAAGATTAAAAAATTATTCAGTAGACACTATTTCCCGCAATGTTATTGAAAATTCTCGGACACATTTCGACAACGGGTCCTCATCGAACATGTGAAACAGCAAAATAAAGACGTTTCAAGCAAATCTTTGAATATATTATACAAGGTAATAAAATCAACGAAAATATATCTAAAAGTTGCCAAACTGACATCTAATTTATTGTTTCCATCTTTTCGTGCGATCGCGTGTAATCGTAATGACATATTGGCTTTCGTCGCCTCGATTTCTCGGCTCAGATACGATGTCTTTAATGCCAAAATATATGCATAGGAAATCTTTATCACAGCTCGTAACATAAAGTTCCATATTTTTAATATAGATCGCGATTTCATGCTTAAAATGTTCAGAATAACATGATTTAACCAAAACCTTTCGCCAAAATCTGAAAATTACATGTGCTGTAATTTGATTGGCTGCCTTAGGTCATGTGCTTACATTTGACCAATCACGAACCTTGTAGCAGATTATGTCGGTGAAACAATATATCTAAGACAAAATTGTTATGGATGAGCAACTTCTTTATTACAATTGGGCGACGTTTCGGTGTAGATTCTAACACCGTTATCAAGCAAATGATGTACAAACTAGGTATGAGCATGATATATATACATAACAATAGATAGATGTTTATATAACAGATAAGGTTGATGTACACTGATTGATTAGGTAGTCCACCCTAGCCAGACGAGCCAAAAACATCTCCTCCACGCCCCAACTCCTAGAAGCCGAACTCAACCATCTCCGCACTGTCTTCACCAGTTACAACAATTACCCTGTCAAGTTAGTCAACCAAACCATCAATAGCACCCTCAACACCAGTGATAAACCTCCCCGCCAACAAACAGCCCCTTTCGTCATCAGCCTGCCCTACATAGGAACTACCAGCCATCAGATCCGCAGACTACTTAAACATGAAGCCAATATAGACGTTGTGTTCCAGAGAGGCCAGACAATTCAGAACCTCCTCAATGCCACAGGTAAACCACCATGCACACGCCAACAAGATCCAGCTGGTGTTGTGTACCACAACGAGTGTGAATGCGGCGACTCATATGTAGGTGAAACTTCAAGACCTCTCAACCAACGCTTAAAAGAACATCATGCCACTGTCCTAAAAAAATACGATAAATCTGCTATCTTTGACCACACCCAAATCCACCCCAGCCACAATATTAAGTGGGACAACGTCAACATCTTAACAACAAACAAGAAAGACTTCAAGCTCAGAAAATTTAGAGAAGCCATTTGCATCCAAAGAATTCAGCCAGTCATAAACAGAGATCAAGGATACTACATCCCTCCAGCTTACCATGATCTCATCATTTTGCCAAAACAACACTGAACTATTATCTCCCCACACATTCCTTCTTAGTAATCCTTGTGTTAATCCCATACCCATCAATTTACTGTACATCAACCCCATCTCTTGTATAAACTTGTCTTATCATAACTACCTAATCAATCAGTGTACATCAACCTTATCTGTTATATACTCTTCAAAAAAAGAAACTTGACATAGATGTAAATCCACTTTTTGCCAAATATCTAAAATAATTACATTAAATGAGAACCAAATAAGTCAAACAGAAAGAAGTTGTGTCTATAATTCGCGAAAACACATGCAAAGCACATAAACGTAGCGTTGGGGGATCAATTTTACAGCTTCATCCAAACGCAACCGCCTGTAAAAACCGTGCAGCACAAGATCCTGCATTTAGGCATGCAGTCCCCCCTGCTGAATGGGTATAAAAATCCACATCAATGGCTGTTCATACAGTCCTTATAACGGCAGTAGAGGCGGTGACAGAATGCCAAGACTGAATGCAGCTCAACGGAAGAACGCCATTGGGAGATTACAAGCTGGAGCAACTCAGCATGAAGTGGCTAGGCACTTTGGCGTATCCAGACATTCAATCTCCGCACTGTGGACCCGATACAACAACACCAACAGAGTTGACGACAGACCAAGGTCAGGAAGACCAAGGGTGACAACCCAAGCACAAGATCGATACATCCGGCTGCGACACCTCCGAGACCGCACTACCACAGCCACGTCTACAACCACACAGAACCCTAGGGTACGCAGAATATCAGATCAAACGGTACGCAACAGACTGAGGGAGGCTGGACTTTTTGCACGAAGACCTGTTCGACGTCATGTATTGACCCCACGTCATCTGGCGGACCGTCTGCTTTGGTGCCAACAGAGGGTTAGATGGGCACGTGCAAGGTGGAGAAACGTTACGCCCCCAACTGTGTGCAGCAGGTTGTCCCATTTGGCGGCGGGAGTGTCATGGTGTGGGCCGGAATTCATCACGGTGGTAGGACGCCTCTCGTGCATGTGGCAGGTGCATTGACAGGTGTGCATTACAGAGACTTGATCCTACAGCCTTACGTTCTTCCTCAATTCAACGTTCATGGCGGACAGTTCCAGCAGGGCAACGCTCGACCGCATATTGCACGTGTTTGTCAGGACTTCTTACAGCACAACAACATCCAGACATTACCTTGGCCAGATTTGTCCCGGATTGAGCATCTGTGGGACGAGTTGGATCAACGCGTTCGCAGAAGGAATCCACCACTCCAAACACTTCCGGCGCTTCTTGATGCGCACCGTGTTATTGACAACTTGATTGCATCTATGGGTCGTCGGTGTCAAGCGGTGATTGATTCACGTGGTGGGCACAACCGATACTGACATTTTCTGTACCCCTGTGACATTAACTGTATCGTGTACGTGTGTCTGTCTAGGTGACACGATTAATGTTTTGAACATTGTGTACATTGATCTTCAAACAGTGTTTCAATTATGGTTTCTGTGTCCTATTTTGAAACAATCGCATTATATTACATTTTGAAAGTCAGTGTCAAGTTTCTTTTTTGGAAGAGTATATAAACATCTATTGTTATGTATATATATCATGCTCATACCTAGTTTGTACATCATTTGCTTGATTACGGTGTTAAAATCTACACCGAAACGTCGCCCAATTGTAATAAAGAAATTGCTCATCCATAACAATTTTGTCTTAGTTACGAGGGGTGTTCATTAAAGATTTCCCCTAAACCACTTAGGGTTATCAAATTTGGTTGAAATTTCACATGTGTAATGATACATGTATCTATGGGTTATGTCTGAATTTGCAGCACCGAACTATTAATCTTACCACTTTTACAGGTGTTATGATCGAGTAGGGTGTGACAATGGAGCCAGTAGAATACCGAGCAGTGATTAGGTTTTTATATTTGAAAGGTCGCACACCAAAAGAAACTTTCGATGAAATGAAAGCAACTTATGGGGAAGATGACGTTGTTAAACACTGGCATCGAAAGTTCAAGTGTGGTCGGACATCTGTGGAAACAGCTGCCATTCCTGGTCGCCCCCATTCAGCCATTGATGAGGACACTATCCATCAAGTGGAGACCGCCATTTTGGCAGACCGACGTATATCTGTTCGCCAGTTAGCACAAGATGTCAAGATTAGTGTAGGGTCTGTGGAAAAAATCATCCATGACAATTTGAACATGCATAAGGTGTCTGCACGATGGATTCCCAGGTTGCTCACACCTTTCCAAAAGCAGGAACGAGTCAATTGCTCAAAGGATCTTTCGGACATGTGCCAAAAAATCCAGGCAAACTTTTTTGACAGACTTATCACACAAGGTGAAACATGGGTCCATCACTATGATCCTGAGACTTAAGTTCAGTCGATGCAATGGAAGCATGTGGAGTCACCAACCCCAAAGAAGGCCCGTGTCCAACCCTCTGCAGGCAAGGTCATGCTCACAGTGTTTTGGGACCAGCACTTTTGAAATGAGTTTGAAATCTGTAAACCAAGAAATAAAAAAAAGTGTCGCCCAAGGCTTGTTGTGAGAAGCGACTGACGGGATCGAGTGGTCAGGCACGCTGACTTGGTGGATGCATGTCATCGTATACCAGTTGCGCGAATCGATGCTCGTATAGTCAATCATTGTATTGTCGGGTCCAGACTCGATTATTTACAGACCGCTGTCATATAGCTGGAATTGACCAGACAATCCAGTGATTGACAACATGAGCATGTACTCAGCAAATATTCAAGCTATATAACGGCGGTCTGGAAATAATCAAGTCTGGACCAGGCAATCCAGTGATTGACAACATGAGTATCGATCCACGCAATTGGGATCGATGACATGCATCAACCAAGTCAGCGAGCATAGTCGCCGTTTACGGCAAGCTTGGGTAGCTGAAGACCTATTCTTCCGCGAATCTTCACCAGTCAAACATTGCTAAACAACAAACAAAAAGTGATTCATTATTACATGTTCAACAACCCAACCCATTCAATTGCCTCATGAAAAACAAAGGAACCAGGTTCAAAAGGGGAGTTCTGAATTCTTTAAAAATCACAACAAATGAATAAGAAACTGATCAATAACAAATAATTGGAGCATTTTGGAGCTCAAGTAAGGTAGATTTTAGAGGTGCCTAGTTCTGCCGTACTCTGGCACTTTAAGCATGCTCTATTGTTACACATGGTAATAATCAGTTTGAATAGATTGTAGTGCGTAGGTAATAAAATAGGAAACGACCACTTTCAAAATATGCCTTTGCCAAACATGGGGATTATCCCTTAATATCTAAGCATAATGTTGAAAATCTACAGAAACTTGTCTTGACATTAAGAAAGTGTTCACAAGACATAATATTCATTTGAGTTTGTGTGTATCAGAAAACGTAATGCTATTTATTCACCAGTGATGGAATGAAAGAGTGAAGTGCCATAACCTATGTGGAACACATTGAACACATGTGGGGATTTTAACCCCGGTCCTTTTAATCACTCAGCCCCCACTTCTCCATATGATGCAAACCACCTCCATGGTCAATTGGTAGAGCATCCGCCCGGAGAGCAGAAGGTCTGGGGTTCAATCCCTGTCTTCGTCATACCAAAAGATGTTAAAAGATGGTACTTGTTAGTCTGGCGCTCGGCATAAAGGGGCTAAAACAAGGACTGGTCGCCTCAGAGTCAGTATACTGTGTCTGAGTGGGGTATTCATGTTGAACTGTGGCATGGTATCTCAGTGAGCTAGCACAATAAATCAGCATCAGTCCAGACTAGTAGAAGCAGCCATACCCACACGTACATGCAATAATCTTGGACGCGACGTTAAACCCAGTTTCACCTCACCATATGATGCAAACAACACTGACAATATTAACAATCAATCTCTTTATTCAGTATGAACATGAATGATATAATAAAATAGAAAAGGATAAGCCTGGTCTTCAAATTGACTGATCAACATAATGACAAAGAAGAACTAGTTGAACAATTCAACACATGCCCAAAACCCAACAATCTCCGAAAAAATAATTCAAACATGCTGCAAACAGAAAGTGCTGCTGACCTACAATTGTCCCGAAGTTTTATCTTACTATTGCATATTAACACTTTCAAGTTTATATATATATAATCCAGCATGATCTGAAGAAGCATTCATAAAGTGTCCTGTCAGCAAGACAAAAGATGGGTGTGATGTGGGTCCACTAACCTTGAAACTAACGACAGCCAGAAGATATTCCTTCAAGACATGAACTACTTGATAAATAAAATAACCCTGAATACTCATATGCATGTACGTAGAAAAAATAAATCAACCTAACCCTGACCTTGTCCTTGGGTGATATTTTCACTGTATGTCAAAACTGAGAAAGAAACCTGGTTTATGTCAGAAATGCTCTCTGAAAAGCACATATTTTGGTCACTCCTCCAGGCTGGATGTTGTTCAAAACCTTCAAACATTTAACTGAAAAAGACCTACTGGCAATACCCCACAAATTCTGGACATTCTTTGAAGTTTTCCAAATTTGGCAAATCTAGTGGTCAAAAAATGGTCTCATATCATACCACGTCCTTTGGTCATTACTACATTTGTTTACCATAGTCGTACCAACATGCAGTTCTTGTTGACTTAGCCAAGACAATATACAACAACATAGGGATGAAATTGAGCTTTTTGAGGATGTGCAGCAGGTCGACGGAACAAAGTACCTGTTTACGAGATGAGTATATATCAAACATAGCAGCTTTATCATATTTCATTCATAGTATACATATTTCTGAAGCCTCCATATACAAATTAAGTTTCTTTCCTCTAAACAGAGGCATGTATAGCATATGTTCTGTGCTTCTCAACACATCTTAGATGAGCAGAACACAAACCTTGGGTTTATGAGGCATGAAAACATGTTAGTTATCAATTTATATTATTATGAGGAACAAAAGCGCAAGACAATTCCAAACAAATTATGCTTTAAATGACTTAATTCCTAATCAGTCAACAAAATTTCTTTAAAATTGCAAAAGCTGTATCTGAGCTGAGGAAATATGTTAATTCTGTTCCACATCAATAAAGTTTGCATGTTTTCTGAAGAAATGACTACATATAAAAGAATCTTTCTGTGTGTAAATATCACAAAATATGATGAATGATACATGCAATACTTAAAATGCCACATGATACATTGAAATAACTGAAGCAAATTTACAATCCACATTGTCAGGAAAACATTAAAAGTTGATATACTCCCTCTAGCTAAACAGATGTCATATCATCCTTTCAAAGATTCCTAAATCCAATCAACAACTGGAAAGTAGGAGAGCTACATTGGGGAACAATTCTAAACCGGTGTGCATAACAAGATTAAACAATAAAGAAATAATAAAGATAGGCTATGTGTAACTTCTCTCAATTCAACTTACTATCTCTGTATGATTGGATCAGATAATCAAATGAACACAAAGATTTAACTTGATAGAGCTGCAACATTGCTGACTGGGGAGACATTTGCCACTGCAATAGCTTTGCTTTGAGTAGCCCCCAAAACAGACTAATTTCATTTTCAAATGAGTTTCCTTTTCTAGTTTGTCACGCCAAGTAATTTGGACACGTCTTGTTTCCCATTTGTGTGGATAGCATAATAAAATCAGAACAAGCATGACAACTGTATAGTTAAATCAGAATCTACCCTAAACATGACGGAAGAAAGATGTCTTCACTCTACACTGTGTATATATGTCACTTTGACACCATCGGTCACATGTACTTTTGGGTTCCAAATGTAGCATGGTACGCTATTTTATCGCGGTAATAAATTTCTAAAGGATCTTAATGGTGCACACTTACTATCCTCTTAAATATGTCATACGAAAAATGGTTCTTGTTCTTTGTTCTACTTTTATGACACATCAATTAGGATTGATCGATGCTGATGTTCTTTAACAAGTTTGGTAAACAAAGGACAGGAAACTCTATTTTGTAGTATGATACATGTGGAATATGTGCTTTGCAACACTTCCTGTTTTGGATTAAGCATAATCAGTACCGGTATATATATGACATAGGTTGGGTCAAGGGACATCGTCCAAACAAATAGGTTCTTTTCTAATCAGTTTTGAATTTAGGTAGGTGTTATTCCACTTCAAAAACTATCATAAATAAGTTAACGTGTAAACTTACAAGTAGCCATGACATATTGCAATGAGTCCTGTATTCGATCAAACGATAAAATATCGTGCTTAGATTTGTGTACGTAAACAATCGACGGTGGATGTGGATTACAAGATTTACAGATACGGCAATAACATAGTGAGTGAGTGAGTGAGTGAGTATGGTTTTACGCCGCTTTTAGCAATATTCCAGCAATATCACGGCGGGGGACACCAGAAATGGGCTTCACACATTGTACCCATGTCGGGAATCGAACCCGGGTCTTCGGCGTGACGAGCGAACGCTTTAACCACTAGGCTACCCGACCGCCCCGGCAATAACATAGAGGCATACTACAATAATAATACTGGGTACATTTTTCAGAGCTCCTACTTTCATGCCTGTCGGTAAGCTTGTAATGCTGCAACATTGCTACCCTTGCCAATGGATCCGGGTGCACCCAAATTTCATTCTCAGCTCCGTGGAGTGTACACAAGTATACAAATGTACTGTTACACCCCTATAGTGAACTATTATCATGATTTGTGTTCCATACATGTAGTCACTAACTTTCAGACAAACAGGTGATGGGAGTGGGCATGAAGGTAACATAGAACATTAAACAAGCAACCAATGCTTTATAGCACTTAATTAAAGAGTAAAAGTCAAATATGATACCGCTAGGCAATATGTACAGCACGATGGGCAAACACAAGGGAAGTAACTCTTAGAAGAAGTCTGACAAACATTTTTCACCAAAATCCCATGATACAGTAGAACCCTTTGTAAATACTGGTTATGACCCTGGTCAAATGATTAATCTACACTTACGCTATAATACATAAATGAGTGAATGATTTGATGTTGTGCCGCATTTAGCACAAGTGGATCAATTTCATGTCAGGGTTAGCTCAAAACATACTGCGTAAGCGATGATTGAACGACCTATCACTCGGCTATGTTGGAGCCCCCTGTGGCAAAGGAGAGTTGAAGACACTTTCTTTAATACTACAGGAAGGGTGAGTTTTTCCATAAGCACTTCCTCACAGCAAAGTCAAAGAGAAGGAGAGCGTTGCATACACCTCTTTCAGGCACAATTTATTCCAAACCATTGTACACCTACAGTAGAAACATATGATCCAATCTTAGCATTACTGTCGTTGTATTGATACCTCATACCATTGCTTTGAGCAACAACAAAAAAGAGGGCTGTTTGTAAGATTGAAATGTTAAATAATGCCAGCAAAATATCTGACACTAAGTTACTTTAACATTTCACTTGAAAGAATGATTGAAAATATTGCGTACAAGATCCTTCATTTAACAAAGTTTACATTGAGTTTCATAGTAATAAGAGTAAGGGCTTGTCAGTTGATGTATGAAAGAAAAAATAGGAATAGAAATACCCAAACAAACACAGGGCAAACTGAGGAGACAACCTGATGAGGAAGGATTAAAAAAATGAACCAACAAGATCTGGATCAAGGACATGAATGAATGATGAAAATTGCAATTCCAAAACATGACGTATAAATATATATAGCAGGGTAAGAACATCAAGTACACTTGTTTAACAACTGCTGAGCAGACAAAAACTATTTCTCTTTATCTGAATCTTCTTCCTCCTCGTCAACCTCGTTACAGATGATATTCTCGATATTGTTTTGTGTGGCCTGGTGTGGCCACGTCACATTGTAGCTCACTTTGTCTTCAGTCACTACTGTCACCGAGTCCAGTTTGTCACTCATTTCCGCTCTCCCTTGTACCAAGGCTTGCTGAACAGCCAGGTCTCTCTGTGCTCGTTCCTCCATCAACACACGAGACAGGTTCATCTGAGCTTCAAGTCTAGCAGCATGCAAGGCCTGGAAACCATTGGTTCACACATTAATGTAACTGATACCATAGATTAAATCATGCATCAGAAATGAAAATGAAAATTGGTTCATTAAGATGCCGGCAGTATGAGCATTTTAACAGTACATCTAACGTGGCATATTTTGTATCAGTGAAATGGTAATACCAAACAAACAAAACTAGCATACATGAAATGGAACATTTGTTCAGAGAAAAACTTTAACACGAAATCATGCATTGAAAGTCTTTAGAAGAAAAGGAAAATCACAAAAGATCTTAGTGATTCATTTTACAAAGTCAATGAAAGAAGTAGAGCAAGTACTAGCCAGACAGGAGCCAATACTTGAATGTGTGTCCGTGCAGTGCTTACTAGATATCAGGGCGGACAGCAAAAGTGTAAGTGCCCTCGGCAGTATTAGAAGCAGTGGGGGCATAATAAAGTTTGTTTCCAGAATCCTGCTCATTCCAGACCTCTTGTTTCTCTTTCTCCATGTGAGCCCGAAGTTGCTGCAGAGCGTGGTCTTTGCTGATTAGGCTCTGCTGCTTCACTTGCTCCAACATGGCCTTCAGACCCTGGGCTTGCTGAATCAGACTTGCTGTCATCTGCAAGTCAAGCATATCATGTTATTGTCAGACTTTAAGAAGTAAAAAAATGTTCTTGTAAAATGTAAGAAGCACAGTAAATCTTAATGTAAACCATTCTCAGGGCAAATCTATGATCGGAACCAAGGAAAGAACCCTAAATGAATACCACCATCCAAAAGAGGAAAAGATGTCACACCTCTGAGGTAGGGCGGTGCTTGATTTGAGCATGTTGAGACGCATCAAGAACCAGGTGTTGAGAGAGAATGAGTTTTCATGCCTGATCAGCCATGTTTTCACAAGACACTGTGAACACTGTTCCCATGTGAGAAACTGATCACTTTTTAAATGTGAGAAACTGAGTGAGTGAGTATCGTTTTACGCCGCTTTTAGCAATATTCCAGCAATATCACGGCGGGGGACACCAGAAATGGGCTTCACACATTGTACCCATGTCGGGAATCGAACCCGGGTCTTCGGCGTGACGAGCGAACGCTTTAACCACTAGGCTACCCGACCGCCCCGTGAGAAACTGAACACTGTTCACGTGCAAGAAAGTGTTTCCAAACGACAGAGGTTGCACTTGTGTCAGTGTCATGCTTGTGAGACGGTTCAGTCCCATGCGTTGTGTCCTCGTGGCTGATGTTATATCATCTGTATAGGGTCCCATATCTCCTGCTTCATGACAAGCATGCTTCAGGTGTGGGACATGCACTTACTGTCTTACTTAGTATACGACCCTATGACGTTTACGCACAAAGTGAAGTGGCACTGAAATAACCAGCTACTGCCAGCAATTTCTGACAGTTGATGAGCATATTTGTCTGGATAATGAAATTGGCTTCACAAACGTGTGTAAGGTTTGACCTGTGACCTGACGATGAGTGCCCCCTGGCGGAGAGACATGTTTTAGGTTCTGTATCATTGGATCAAAGAGAGAGGGAATTTGCGAGAGGATGTATCAGGATCAAAATTAATTTTTCAGGACTAAACAATATAGTGATTGATATTATCAGCAACAATTCACACTGTCTGGATCATCGACACACTAGCAACCATGTCATTGAACCTGACCCATTTAGTTGCCTCTTACAACCAGCATTGGTTGCTGGGGACCTTTTCTAACCCGGAATCCCCAAGAGGGCAAAGATAAAGAAAAGAAAGTTAAAGAGATGTATGACAGATACTAACATTAAAACCTGTAGCAAGTAAGTATTTTGCATCGTGATATAGTGAGCTACCAGCAAATAATGGTGTCGCTAAAACTTGCAAATGTGTGTGGCATTAGATGGGGGTCAGATACTATCTAGCAAGAACTTGTTTACATGTGAGATTCAAGTCTTGTAATTGTACATCACTCCCCAGTACACATAGTGAATCTAAATACCACTTGAATTCTGATCTCAGTTGATTCGAACCACAGTACAGCGATGGAAACAAACAGTTTTAGTCCACTAGTCCTTATAATGATGACATGAAGGGAAACCCTTAAAAAATTCTGCTACAGTGCAAAAATCCTTTTGATAATTTAACTATTGGGCAGTTTGGCTAGGACTATAGGACTAGTGCCAATTTCTAATGCTGTTAGTACAACCAAACATGAAACCAAATTGAGGATTCAGGAGTTGATTATGATAGATGAGCAGAATTAAATTAATTAAAAGAACATTTGGATTATTGAACTGTTTTGTTCTCAGTATGACGAGTGAATACTTTAACCACTAGACTACCCCAATGCAAGTGTATAACAAAATCCAATTACCCAAGCCACCTCATGACCTCAACTCTCAATTTCAACCAATTACATGTTTGCTTATTGCTAGTTGGAAAAATGGTTCTTAACTCATACCAACACAGATGGCTTTGTCAATACACACAAAGAAACCAAGATGACCTTTCCAGTGACCTTGACCTTCATGAAGGTCACTCAAAACTAACAACTTCATAGCTTGTTTATTGGGATGACATGTGCCGACATTTTATCTGAATACAGAAACATACCTTCCGTTTGAGTGCTTTGAAAAAAAGAGTGCTGAATCAGAGTGGGGTCAGATACTATCTAGCAAGAACTTGTTTACATGTGAGATTCAAGTCTTGTAATTGTACATCACTCCCCAGTACTCAAGGGTAAGTGCAGTTTCACTTCAGTTCTGAACTCAATTGATTCAAACCACAGTACAACCAAAAATGAAACCACATTCAAGATTCAGGAGTTAATTATGATTAGATCAACAGTCAATTGATAAAAAGTACATTAGGACAATTGGATTGTTTTGTTATACATACAGTGCAACTGTGAAACAAAGTCTAATGACTCTAGCTACCTAGTGACCTTGACCCTTAATTTCACCCAATTATATGTTTACTTATTGCCAGTTGGAAAAATGTTCCTCGCTCCTACAAACATGTCTGTCATTCCAACACAGGGAGTTATATTTGTAAATATATACAAAGAAACCAGGACAACCTTTCACTCAGAACTAACAGCTTCAATGCTTGATCATAAGGATGACAGGTACTGACATAGTTTATCTGAATACACCTTCATGTTGCTGAAGAAGAGTGCTGAATCTGAGTGGGGTCAGATACTATCTAGCAAGAACTCGTTTACATATGAGATTCAAGTCTTGTAATTGTACATCACTCCCCAGTAGAGCTGCAATGAATACACTATGATGCAAATGCGATACGTATCACGACTATATAGTAACGAAAAAGAATATTTATTCATGAATACAGCAACATGTTATCAGTTGATGTATAATTTTTTTATTCAGCAAAACAATAACAAAATAATTTTTTTGTCATGGCTTGACCATGTTGACAGTGTTAATGATTATTATAACATTATACATTTATATCATCCAAAACTTGCTCCCACAGGAGATATCACTTGGGGAAGATGAAGCGTTTCTACACTGTAGATATTGCTGCAATGAAATTGCATCATAATGCTTTGCAGACCATTGTGACGTCATTGGTTACCATGATGTCACAATCAAATGACATCGCTAATGGCTCTACAACTGAAGCTGTTGGCAGTACCTTTTACACTTAAGACACTGCTTATTACTGTCTACAAACTGAAAAAGAATGATGTTGGATGATAAATAAAATCTCATCCGAGTCTCTTTTGATATCAAATATATCAACACTCGTTGATCAAAGTGGAAAAACTCCTCGGCAAGACTCAGTGTTTTTCCACTTTTATCAACTTGTGTTGATATATTTGATATCAAAAGACACTCGGGTGAGATTCTCTGTATATATACTGCCCCTATCCAGGTACTAGTATCTGCTAAAATGCGACAATGACCAGTGACCACATTACTGTAAAATTGAAGATAGATAAGAGTGTTGTCCTTGAAGAAATCTATGTATGCATGCATGCACATAATTAGTTTGGATGGCTTCTTAGTTAAAAAAACCTCACTTCATATTTTTTGTTATTATTTGAATCTTGTGTCCACAAATAACAAATTCAATTTATGAAGGGATACGGTTTGATTCACCGAATACACGAGTGAATCGTAACAGCCCTACCCCCCAGTATTAATGTTTGTTTATTGTTTAATGCAGCACTCAGCAATATTCCAGCTATATGACAGCGGTCTGTAAATAATCGAGTCTGGACCAAACAATCCAGTGATTGACATCATGAGTATCGATCCACCCATATGGGATTCGATGACATGCATCAACCAAGTCATTGAGCCTGAGCACCCAATCCCATTCATCGCCTCTTACAACAGGCATAGTCGCCTCTTACGACAAGCATGGGCTGCTGAAGACCTATTCTCCCCCATACCTTCACGGGTCAACTCCCTGTTCTCCAGGATAACTGCAGTTAAGTGAAATCTAATAATACTTGAATTCTGAACTCCATGCATCAGCAGTACAACCCAAAAAGAAAACACATTCAAGATTCAGAAGTTGATTATAATAAGAGCAGCAGAATTCAATTACTTAAAGAGTACATTAGGACAATTGGGTTGTTTTTGACTTGACAGAAACTAAGCAGGATTAAGGGTTGTCACCTCTTCCAGCTGCCACCACTGCTTCTGCTCTGAAACATCCATCGACACCACTGTGGCTGTCTGGCTCTTGGGGTTGGGAGCTATGGCGATTGGAGTCATCACCACTGCGTCTGTAGCAGAATGTTATCACAATCTCAGATCTACACATACATACACAAACCAAAAGCCTCTCTATAAAGGTACGGAAATTAACCAGACACATATTAAAGCCTGAATAGTGACAACATAGAGCAATACTATCCAAACTATTTGAAATTATACTGTCCCTAAGGATGCCTTTAACATTAATAAAAATGGACCTGTGTTCTGTTGTAGAAAGCGATCTTAGTGCTGAGGTGATCGTAACTCCCATACCCTAACATAGACTTACGACAGTTGTAGTGCTAAGGATGTTTTGTACAACAGCACCCTGGGCAATGCTAATTTCCATACCTGCTACAAAAAAACTAAAACATTTGATATTTTTAGAGGCTGTCAGAGGTTTAGTGTTAGTGCTGATAGTGTCACCTGCAAAAAACATTTGATGGAGGTCAACCACTTCCTTTGAAGCTTGTATTCCTTGGGTACTGAGACAGCCATGTTCCCATGTTAATATGATGGCTGTATGCATACCATAAAAGGTATTTACAACTGGTTCTTTGTTTGTTGTTTGACACCGCACTCAGCAATATTCCAGCTATATGACGGTAATCTTTAAATAATCAATCCTGGGCAAGACAATCCAGTGACTGATTTCATGAGCATTGATCTACGCAATTGGGATACAATGACATGCATCAACCAAGTCAGTGAGCCTCACCACTCAATCCCGTTAGTGGCCTCTTACGACATGCATGTTTGTTAAAGACCTATTCTAACCCGGATCTTCATGATGATTACTACTAGTGAAACGCACAGGTATGGTGTCAACAGACCAAGAATCATCTTCAAAGAGAATCTGGGATTTGAAACCCATTTTGATTCTGAAAAGTCTAAAAAACATAACTCTGTACACTGAATTCCACCTCTTTAGAAGTCTGGGCCAGCTCAAACACTGAGAGTTACAACTTACAATTTTTTAACAGTGTAAATATTACAACCTACACCACTTATCAGACCAGATCAATAGTTGTATCTTCAACTCTGGGGATTATCAGCAATATGTCACAGCTATCATATCAAAGAATTAGTAAAATCTAAATATTTTTTACATTTGTATACTTATCCTGCATTACTCTTTAATTCAAACAACTAGAAGGACAGCACAACTGCGAAGGTCCTGGGTTAAGAAATAAAGTTGTTGTTCTGAAGTCCCTTAACTGACCTTCCATCGCTGTCCTGTGACCTTGATGACACCTAAGGTCATCATCTTTACATCACTGCCCGTCACCCGAGCTCTTAGAAACCTCTTAGAGCTTGAGGTTTCTGAAGCCAAAGTAGGGAGGCAAGTCTTGCGACCGGTGGGCCTTAAACGTAGTAATGCAGGATAAGTATACAAATGTAAGAAATATTTACTTTACTAAATTTTTTACTTATCCTGCATTACTCATTAATGCATCTGTATCGGACGGTTTGGAGGTGGGTAAACCTTTAGAATACAGAAACCTCAATAATTCACACCCAATTGGTCGATAAACTGTGAAGCGGAAAGTTCAGAAAAAAAACATTACGGTAGGGTTGTTCAAATATCAAAACGATTGAACATAGGAATTAAAGAGAAATTCCCTATACACACATAGTAATAAAGAAAATAATGGCTAATTAGCTAATTCTTTAATTACTACATCATAGACAAACAAGATTGTCTGATATTCTTCCACTGGCGGCAACTGAGTGACTGCACATGGAAGTTAGCTGGCTCTGTATAGGGCGAGTTCATTATTGCGTCAGGGGTTGGTAACCTGCTGGGTTACAACCAGAGGGCCAAAACTTCACACGCCTTCGACGTCCTCGATAATGAAAACTGTGTCGAAGCTCCAGAAATATCCTTCCGTGATTGTTCTTAATAAAACAGTTGCAGTGTAGAGCCCTGGTAAAGGCTAACACCCTGAGATCGTGAGGGTAATTCGCTCTCAGCAGATTCCGTTTTACCGATCTCTTAGGCCTGAAGGATGACTGCGCGTAACCATAGACATATGGTGTTTGCGACTAACTTCGGTCGTGGACGTAGTAAACATGGGTATAAATAACCGCTTCCTCAAAACCATGCCTAGTCTTGGAGCAGAGAATGAAAAACTCGAAATTCACCTTCATGTACGGCTCCCACAATAATCGATATTGGTGGGATAGTGAAGGAACGATCAGGTTGGCCTGGAAGTTGATTTTAGCTATAAAATTACAGCATAACCCAAAATGTACCGCTCCATGCGTCCCATGCCCAAAGCGGACCCGGGTGGTGTCGATCACATGTAGTTCTCTCACCCGTGCCGCCGTGGCTAATGTCAAGAGAAACCGTTGTTTCCTTGGTGAGGTCATAAAATGAGGATGCTTAGAGGGGCTCGAAGGGGGCCCTCAAAAACCTCGAAGTACCATGTTCAAGTCCTAAGCAGTTGGGCAGAACTTGGCCTTCTGATCCTCAAGCCTGAATGAGCGTAATAGGTCCTGTAGTTCCGGACCTTAATCACCTTGTGATTTTCCGGAACAGCCAACACTGAGTTAAGTGCAACCAATTACGTAGTAATGGTGCTACTTTCCAAGTGTCTTTGGGTATGCTAATGAAAGAGGTATTCCGCTAGGGATTGTTGTGACGCAATCGTAGGGTCTTGATTCTTTTGCCTTGCAAAAAGTCTCAAATGTTCCCAACTTGTCATCGTATAGTGCTCCTGGAGAGGAACGATGAACTAAAGCTATAGCTTTGCTGCCCATGCCGAATTAACTCTTCGCACTTAAACGCCTTTTAAACACAAACCATGTGTGCAGATGTTGGGTGAGGCAATTTTGCTCTTAGGGTGGACGAGTAGGTTGGACCACTGTGGGAGGGGTAGTGGATCGCCTTCTGCAAGATTTTTCTGAGCTCGACGAACCACCCTCTCACCGGCCACCAGGGCACGACCAAAGTGAGAGCAAGATACCATGTCTCCTCGATCTCCTGTATCACCTTGGGAAGTAAAACTAGTGGCGTTAAACCTTATGCTTATAGCCCTTCCCAAGGGATACTGAACGCGTCCACCGCCCAAGTCTGCAGATCGAGGAGACATATGTCATGAGTTGGTGGTCTTAGCAAGTAGCAAACAAGTTGATGTTTGGTTGCCTGAACTTCTGGAGCAGTAACTGGAATGCTTCTGTGTGAAGTTTCCACTCGGTGGGGGCCACCCTGTCGGGACGCGATCGAGCGTCGACCAGAATATTTCGACATCCCGGGATGTGCTGAACTATGAACTGTAGTTGCAGCTGATCCATTAGATGGAAAAATTTGAATGTCTGTTGAAGTAGAGAGTTGGAGTGCGTTGCTCCCTGATTGCGCCGGCACCACATCACAGTGCTGTTGTCTGTGGATATTGCAAGTTGGGCTGACTGTAGTTGATTCTGCCAATGTGATATGGCCAGAATTAAAGCCTTCAACTCCAAGTTGTTTATATGCCACTTTTGCTGAGCGCCGGACCATAGCCCTGAGGTTGTCTGGTTTTGCAAGTGGGCACCCCACCCCTGAAAGGAGGCGTCCACGAACAGGTGTATATTCGGAGATAACCCGAATAAAGAGACTCATCCTAAGACATTCAACTTCACCAATTGAGGTAAGGCCTTAGTTTAGCCGGTAGAGTGATGGCCTTGAGTGGATCCTGACGCCTGTAAGGGGTTCAGGAAATGATGAATTGTAAACGACCAAAGCTAGTTAAGTCCTGTACCGAGGTGAGTAACCCTAGCAACACTTGCCCTTGGGGAAGTGTGCGTGGTTGGTGTAGAACAGATGACAAGAGGCGTAGAATCTTGTGCCATCTGTTCCTCGGTACTGATAGGAGATCCTGGTCTGTCTGGAACAGGCCTCCTATGAACTGAAGCCGATGGGAAGGAGATAACTCCGATTTCGTCTCGTATATTATCCATCTCAGTTAAAAAGATATAGTAGCCGTCTGCCTGGTGAATTCCCAGTGACGTACTAACATTGGCATGTGTTGATGACACAGTAGACTGTCCTCTAACTACGACTCGAACCAAGTGTTCGTCAAGTGTAGATACGCAGTAATTGGCTTCATTACTCCTGTAAATAGCCATAGGGTCACTGAAATGCCAAATGGGAACACTACCCTTTGGTAGTGAACCCCACTGAACTGGACCTGAGGAGTCTGCGGTTGGGATAAATAGTGGAGACTGATCAAGGATCAAACATATTTATGTTGATTATGGGCGATCTCAACGTAGTGAGGCGGCAATAATGTGGACGCTTCAGATAATGTTCGTTGAACACGGAGAGATTGTGGATCATTCTCATCTTGTCTGGGTCCTTCATGGGTACCAGGCAGATGTGAGGACAGAACCCCGGTGTAAAGACTGGGTTGTGAACCATCTCTACAGCTTTTCAAACTAACAGTATGTCTATGTTGGATTTTCCAAATCGAACTGTGGTCAATCGTGGGGTTACCTCTACGCGTATATTTGAAACCCTGATATAGTACAATGAGTACATAATCGTCCTTGAGACTTGCCTCTGCCTCACTAAGGGAATACTGGTCTTTCTTGAGAGACACGCGTCTAGGCTTAAAATTACCTGACCTGCCAGCCCGCTGGGATAGACTCAAAGAGTCTTGAGCACATTGTCATTCCAAGTGTTTTGGGAACTTGGTGTGTGTGTCTGCGATCTGTTCATTGAACAGGAGAGTAGATGACCCAGGTTGATGTAGCAGCGTGCCCTTGAAATCAGAGTCCCAGTTGGAAACACTGTTAAGTCTTGGTGTGACGGTAATCTCCACCAGGGTGTATTCAATCTGAAGCTGTAGGAAATCACCATAGCTTGGAAGTGATCTAATCAGATAGGGTTATCCTCTGATATCTCCTGATCAATCCTAAGCATTGACGATGTTGGTGGCTTAAATGACGGAGCAAATGTAAGTTTGGAGAAGTCTTTCTCCAATGACCTCATGGTGTCTCTCTTATTTCCCCCGTTACCAGGAAATGGCGTCACTGACATGAGATAGTCTGCTACCCAATTGAGTATTTGCACTAAGCCGGTGATCTGCTCTGGTGCTTAGTGCCTCCTCTATCAGCAGGTTTTGATGACCCATCTGAATAAGGAGTCATGTGCCGATGTTCCCGTACGTGCTGTCGTACTAGCGCTGCCCAGCGATGTATCATGTGTCGGTTGTGTAACCGAGTACAGCGCAGGTCTATGAGACAAGGCTCATGGGTGATGACTGGATCATTGCAGAAGACCTTGGGCCATTGTCCAATTTGCATACAGGAATGACGTTGATGCCTGAGCCTACATCTGCTGCGCTGGATATGTTGGAACAGTGCTAAGCTAATCGTGCGTCGCCTACGTAATAGAGGCGCTTGGGTAGTTGTCAGGTGCTGCACTCGGCGCAGGTAACTGAGACACAAAGCTCATTGGTATTTACGGGACCAGGGCTTGCATTTGCGCTACCCCCATCAAAGCGTCTTGAGACAGCGTCGCAGATTTAACAGATCTTGATGTGTCAGAGGGCTGAAAATTAGGACCAGTTACGATAGTCACAAAATCCTCCGGAATTGTTGATTTCGGTGGAGGGTGCACTTCTGCAGTCACAGTTACGGGCGTCATATCATCCGCCAATGATAACGGCTGGGTGGAAATGACCGAACCATGACCTTCGCTATTCAGTGATTGTGACATTCCTCTCATCTCATGACAGGATTGCTGCAAAATATGATTGTGAGTAGCCTGCGTTTATATTGTGAAACTCGTTGGTGAGAGATTTACACACAAAAATACATTTAGAATTTGGCAACCACATCTACGTGCATGCCGAGGAACGTAGAAAAAGATCTTTGGGCGATTTTTTCCATGTCAATATGTACAATGCGCAAGCATAAGTTACGCAATTAAACCAATGTTGATGAAATGGTACTGGAAGAATGCCGTAGAATTGAACAATAATCTATCAGCAAAAATATGGGTTGAAAGTGTATACAATAGTTTTATATACGCAACTCAATGTAAACCAAGGCTATTTACATTTAGAGTTTGGTGAGCACATCTGCCTGCAAACCAAACAACGTGGATGATATAATCTTGTAAGATTTTTTCCATGACAATTTGCACAACGCGCAAACATACGTTATGCAATTAAAGAATTGTTGATGAAGCGGGACTGGATGAAAGCCGTAGAATTGATATTAATCTATTGGCAAACATATTTTTAACGAGTTGAAAGTATATCATGTATATACAATAATATGCAAGAACACAAGAATATGTTATACATACTTAGCTGAGAATTGTAAACAATTTGACTACCATGGCAGGCCAACAAATGTAACACAATTCAAAATGGCGGCGAACGACAAATATGTGGCGAGTCTTTTTACGCCTAATTAATTCACATAAAACTACACAGCATAGTGAAGGTTATGAAGAGAATACATCACCCATCGTAGATCAATTTTAGGATTGTAAACGAACTGAAGGTCTAAATTAATCCCAAAGGAGAGCTCCGCTGGGACACGTCCTTGCTGTAGCGCGACAAGCAGTGATGTGAAGAAGATGACCTTAGGTGTCATCAAGGTCACAGGACAGCGATAGAAGGTCAGTAAAGGGACATCAGAACAACATCTTTATTTCTTCACCCAGGACCTTCGCAGCGCTGTCCTTCTAGTTGTCGTAAGGTAAGCAGTGAATGCATTAAGGAGTAATGCAGGATAAGTAAAAAATATTACTATTACAAGAAACCCAAACATTACATTTGAACTAATGAATGAGTGAATGTATATGGTTTTACTCCGCTTTTAGCAATATTCCAGAACACACCAGTAATGGGCTTCACACATTATACCCATGTGGAGAATCGAACCGGGGCTTTGGTGTGACGAGTAAACACCAGGCTACCCCACCGCCCCTGTTTGAACTGAACATTCACTGGAACATAAAGGTTCCAAGAAAGACTTGCTTATAAATCAGCTTTGCCCTGTTTGGTGATAAGGGTAAATTTATGCCTAAGTCTGCATGCATCTATGCACCTTGCACAAGTAAAATGTGAAGCATCTCCTACCTCCTGCTGTCACGATGTTGCCTGCACTATCAGTGGTGACGATGTGCACCGTTTCTCCATTCTCTGCGTTCGCCACGGTGATGGATCGACTCAGGGCTTGTCCGTTACCAATAGATACTACCACACCTTAATAAAGCATAGAATGTGTAAGTGATGACCAAATGATAATCGTGTTGAAAAGTAAGAGGTTCTCAAGGATATGGAACATATATCAAGTTAATTAAGACAAGCAGAATCCCAACAGAGATTCTCTCAGGAGAAGAATGTTAATGGTGTTAATAAATTCGACAATGCATATCATGCATATGAAGATAGTAGACATGGTAGACATAGTTCTAATATATAAAATGTCATCAATCTATTTTATACAAACTTCTATAGTCAAGCAATGGTTGTCAGAAGTATTATATTTGTGAAGTAATTTCATAAAGTCTTAATGAAAATTTGTAAAAACAGAAAAATGGAGACATTTTAATTTTGGGTGCTCCTCCTGATTGATTGAAACAATGTCTAGTGGGGAGAACCTCAGACTATTGATTAGCGGGGCTAAAACCTTTCAGGACATCAAAATATATAAAGGCAGTACACAATCAACAATAGCTGGTAAGCAGTGGGGACACCAGCTCCAAAGACAGTAAAAAAATGTCAGTACCTTCTTTGGTCATGTGGCTGGCTGTAACAGCAGGCGGGGATTTGGCTGATGAAGGCCGTGCTTTTTTGGGGGGCGGCGAAGGGGGACCACTCTCACTATCCTTCTTTCGCCTTTTATAAGGCACAAACAATCTCACTGGACCAGTCTGAAAAGGAACCTGTAGAAATGCTAATACACTGATAGATCTTTCCGGCTTCCAGCATCACCATATTGATCTAGCTGCCCTAGTAACTTATCGTGGAACTGCTTATCATGCTAATACTGCTTGATGCTCATCATGCTCAAGATTTAGATGTAGGCAGTATTCGACACATGTGATGGGGATCTTACATTGGCTGCAGAATGTATATGCAAGGTCATTTGTAACAAATATTGCAACATGATTAACAAAAACAATCAATTCTTCAGCATCTGAAACTATTAACATAATAAATGCTCATTTAAAGTTGATATACATGTAGCATGTATACACTGACAGGAGAGTTTGAAGGATTCATGCTTCTCCAAAACCTTCATTGACTGAAATGTTCCAAATTTGCCTGCTTTATAACTTAAGGCATTGTCCTTCAAGGATTGGCTGGGATGTACTCTAAGAAATAATCACGACAATAGCATAAATTTCAACACCACAGGCATGCTCACCATATAATTACACGTTGACATATAAACATGATGAAGAAATAGTTTAACAATGATGAGCCTCAAGTTACATATTAATATGGCTGCCATCATGATAAACAAACAGAAAATGGCTACTTGGTGGGTGGGGCCAGGGTGTTGACAGAAACAAAGTGACAAGGATCATTGCTCCTTTTTCCTTTGGCATAACACTGGAAGTCAGATGCCTTCTTAAAAGAATGCACTTGAGGGCTGTCTTTGGACATGCTGGAGGCTGACAGTACTTGCTTTGTACACCAGGAGTTAACTGGTGGGAAGCAATGTTGACTTCACTAGCTATTGTCTTCCTAAGTATCTAAGGTGACATGACTACAGGGATTGTGCGTAAACTCACCACTGACTCGTCATCACAGCATGCAGCACATGTACAGGAGGTAGCATGGGGCTGAAGGATGCCGTCTTCAATCAAGCACTGTAATGTTCTACCACCGTATCGTATACTGCGTTTCCAGTCTTTGCTGCTGGCTCTACCACTCATAGACTCGAACTCATTGGGGGTAAACCACTGATTCTCCGGGGTCCTGATACACTTCCCTCTCCCACCTAGAATAAAAAATAAGTTGACACAGGTATGCAGGCATATTCATCACCATGCCAGTTAAACATCAATCATATGCTCTAGTATCCAATAACAATGAACTACTTATCAATTTACTTGCACAAAATACTGAAGCACTCTTGTGCGGCAATCACTGGTGGAAACTTTTGAGCAGTTACATTTGCCATGCTCGTAAATAATATATAAGAATATAGCAAACAATAACTATTGTTAATTATTGACAAGAAAGTATTTTCTGCTATTTTTAACCTTTTCATGATTTGGGCAGCAGATGAGAATTAATTCCCTTGATTGTTGTTTCAAAGGTTTGAGCTAAAATATGGTTTGATAGTTAAAAGGTACTTCATGTTGGATTAAATTCCCCAAGAAAGTATAAGTAATGAGACTTGTCACACACCTTCATGGAAATTCAGACTTTCCACTTCACTGACCACAGTCGAAGTGCAAGTCTTATGTCTAATGAAATGCCTTGACAATACATAAAATGAGTTTGAGCTTGAAAAACCTCGCTAACAAACAAGACAAATAATCACATTGTACATTAAGTCAGGTTTTTAGCCTTATCTAACTTTTTGTTGCTGATTGCCCTTCAGGGACAGACACTTACAAATCAAATTGGCAGTCTGTGCCAAAAACCTTTTTGGAGTCTACTACTAGCCTGAAAAAGTATTTTGGCATAATTTTCATTACATTTTAGTCTTACATTATGGATGAGTTTAAGGTGATCTTACTTGACCAAAAGAAATTTTACTTGACTTGGGCTTTGTACTAGTGGGTGAAGTTGCACACTGCTCTTGAAAATCTTTCCCCTTGAACAGCTTGTCCTTATATAGTACTCCTCAGTATACATGGTACATCTTGCCCCTTGAGGCATGAACCCTTAAATCAATAACTGGATTGTCTGGTCCAGATTCATTTATTTACAGACAGCTGTCATATAGCTGGAATCTTGCACAGTGTTTGTTAAACAAGAAATAAACAAATAACACATTTACAATTACTTTACGTTAGTTATAACTTATATTACTATTATTCTTGGCCCTTGGACCTAGACTTAAACATTTCTTATTTCTAAGATTAGTCCAGAGGATAAGTGGAAACCTTGTTTGTGTAGTTGTCAGTGTTTGCAGCTAGTCCTGCTTGAACAAATATTTTTACTACTGTCACTTTTATTCAGTTCCAATATTTAGCAGTGAGTGATTATGGTTTTGTATTGCTTTTAGAAATATTCCAGCAATATCATGGCTGGGACACCAGAACTGGTCTTCACACATTGTATCCAAGTGGGGAATCAGACCCGGGTCTTTGGCCTGATGAGTGAACGCTCTAACCACTAGGCTACCCCACTGCCTCAATTTGTAGCAAAATTGAAGCACTGAGAACAGGTAACTTCAGAATTATAGCCATCAAATGCTTCTAGTCAACTTAGAAGTTTTGCGTTTGCAGCCTTGTGTGAATTATGAAGGCTGTAGACCCCATTTTCAACACTGGAAACATTTTAGTATCCTTCGGCTGTTTTGCTGTATCCCACAATCAAAATTCTGCTGTCATTGTTTGTAAATTCTGCAACCTCATTTTGACAATTCTGCAAACCTCTCAATCTTAGTTTTCATAAATTTTGTAGATTTGCACCTGTTTAACTTGTTGCAGGAATTATCACGACAAACTTATCCACAAAACATGTAGCTATTTGAAGTGAATTTGGAAATCACTAGTGTAAACATACAGACATACACTTTCAGTAAACAATAATACAAAAGTCAACTGCACTTCAAAACGAAATAAACATCCATTTACACGTTTAAAAACCAGCTTTTGACGTGCATGTTAAAATTCTGCAGTGGATATGACGAATTCTGCAGTTGGGTACATTTCTGCACCGTGTGGGGCATATGTGCAAATTATTCTATGTAATCTGCTTAGGGTTGGCCAGGGTACCATACACACTACAAGCTACTTAAAGGGCAAGAAAAGTGAAAAAAAAAAATTATTGCAAATTTGTTGCAAATATCAATTTTTCTATTTATTTCATATCAAACCTATTTGGAGGCATGGCCAAAAGCTTCCGGCTCAAAGGTGACAACTGCTTTCATCGGATGTATGTTTACGCTATTGTCTATCTGGAGATCCTTAGCCATTATACATATACTGTTTCTGCTATCAAATATTTCAGTTAATCCTTAAAAAATACATAGTTGAATGTGACACAAACCCTTGATCTTGACATTATGAATAAATAAAACAACAATTAACAATCTCTCACTGGAGTTTCATTACTAACATCCTGTATGGGTAATAAGACACCAGCTGCCTTGGCCCTATTCCACACAATAAAAGCCTGTCAGGGATCAATTCCCCTTGTAAACAACCGAAGGCATCTTCATTGCTATTACTAAGGATACATAAGTTGTGGATATGAAAATCAAATGGATGAGTAGACAATTAACGATTAAGACGTAAATGTATAACATAGTCCGAGGCAGAAGCAGGCAGACTAGGCGTCTGAAATTGTGCAGCACTTCATACACTGGGAACATGTTTTAACCCCAATAAGGGGAACCCCATAAATGGCAGAAATACGGCTGTCAGAGTCATCTGTTGTTTTTTATTGTCTGTTTTCCTCTATTTGGGGTTTTTAAAATATAATTTTGGTCAAGTATTTGTGATTAGGTATGCCCTAAAGTATTAAAATCTGCGAAGTTGCTTTGTTGTCTCTACTTACTCCTTAACAACAACAAAAATATAACTTCTAGTCCATATTCTTGTGCCCTCTCAAAACTAGTTTGCAAGGGGTTAATAAACTCTCTAAGGGTTAGTCAACGTCAATACTTCACCATGTTCACAGATTTGTGTACACTACGTTTCTCAGTTACCCTTAAATACATTCTGACAACTTGCACTGTAGTCGCAATTTTAAACAGTAGTATAGGTAATGGGGGTTCTGGCTCACTTCCACTGGAGCCGGATTCATATACCTATACTGCTACTACAGATGGAATGTTTTATGCCAAAATGATTATGCGATTTAACGATAGTCATGAGATTAAGTTAAATTGGCTCTAGCTCACCAATACCTGGGGCCAATCATTGCTTCTATTAGTATAAAAATGATGATGTGATTCAACGAAAGTCGTTTTAAAAGAAACATCAATATTAATTAATAATGGACGTTGTATTGGATACGGGTTGTATTGGATATGTCATATTATATTATGTTAGACTTAAATATCTCCTTAGGTATTACATTATGGAATGCGACGAACTCATCGAACAAATGCTCAAAGAATCTGATGCAGATCAACATGCTGATAAATCTTTAGATAAATCTTTAGATAAACATAGAGAAAGACTTGCCGCTTTGGTAGCCGGTGGAAAATGTTCCCAATATTTGGGAGAAAATTATACCATCGAAAAAATTGATAACATGACCGACGAAGAGATTAAAAAACTGTACGCGCGTTACGAGTCTAGACTGGGAGCTACCATGACTAAAACGATAGGGTCTTCGGTTTACTATCAACTATAATCGCTGCGCCTATCGTGCTCGGCATGGAAATAACCGCTGGAGTCTCGGGACTGGCAGGAATAGCGATAAAATTCATTTCTCGTAGGTTACAAAAGAAAGCATTAAAACACGATAGTATTCGGATACTCGCCGGAGCAAAGTTGAACAGCATTGAGGATCATATTTCAACAGCAATGGCCGATTGTAAGATATCCGAAGATGAGTTTCGTTTAGTGCTGTCGGAACTCACCAAATACAATAAAATGAAGCAGGAGATTCGATCAAAATCTCGTAAGACCAGTGGTATTAGCGAAGACGAGAAAAAAAAGTTCATAGAACAGGGGAGGCAACAAGCGCGTCAATTATTCCGTGCCAAAACCAAAGAACTGGTTGGAGATTAAAAATAGATTGCTTACTATCGTGTGATTACATTTAGACAAATGCTAACATAAATATATAATAATGGAGAAAGCTATTCAATGGAAAGAATTACCACAAGGTTTTTATTATATCAGTGATGCCAAACCAACCAAATACGGTTATCAATTGTTTCTTATCAATTTACAAAAAGAGTGTAGTTATATAGTCTGGTCTCCTAGCAAAATGAACGAAGAACTTAATAAAAATGTTGAATATCGCTTTATCGATAAAAATAATAAAGAATATTTTTATTACCATTTAGACTCATCTAAAGCAATGATTGGCCCCAGGTATTGGTGAGCTAGAGCCAATTTAACTTAATCTCATGACTATCGTTAAATCGCATAATCATTTTGGCATAAAACATTCCATCTGTAGTAGCAGTATAGGTATATGAATCCGGCTCCAGTGGAAGTGAGCCAGAACCCCCATTACCTATACTACTTAAACCAAAACTTCAAGCCATGGGCAGGTTCCAGAAAGTGCTCAACAATATTCCCCATGCAACATGTGTCACAGCCTTGTAACCATCTACTCTACACACTGCTTCAATATCAGGCAACAGTTCGGGCTCACATTTAATCCATGCACTGACAGGAGCTCATTTGACTTTAAGGAGTTATACACGCACAGCCTCGTTTCTAAACATGATTTACATGTCACTACGACACCGCATTTCGGCCATCTGTATTCACACATGATTGAGGAACGTAGTATAGCCAAACCCATGAAGTATTGACAATGAGGGGGAGGATGAGGATCAAAATCCATGGAACTGTATGGCAAAACATAACACCTTTGGCATGTACTGCCTGTAACTTGTGAAAACATGGTAAATTGCTGCAATGGCAAGTACAACATATTTTAACATCAAAAGTGCTTGATGGACAGCGTTCAGTATAAAGCATGTACATCAAATTGTCATGTAACTGGGTTATCTGACACAAACTTAAAAAGGTGTCCTATGGTGGTGAGACAAGGTATCAGAGTTGATATACCTGATCCAAACTTTGCTTTATGCAGTTCTCCGTTTGTGTTCTTGCATCTCACTGGCAAAACTTCCGAATGCACTGAACTGTCCCACTGATATCTGAAGCCCCTTTCCTTGCTTTGAGGCGTGGCTGGGGTTGGAGGGGGGAGAGGGGTAGTGGGAGTCTTCAACTCGGTTGGTGAGGAATCCACATTCAATGTTTGATCGTGAATGACAATATGTGTCGTTTTGATGCCAGCCGCCTCTTGCAGCTGTTCTGCTGTTAGGAGACCTTGGGATGTAGCGACGAATACGTGATCAGCTGCTATTGCGCCATGTGGTGCTGATATTGTTGTGGTACCAGCGTGGTTATCGTTGCCGCCTTCGCCATTTTGTTGTTGATCTTCGGCGAAGGCCGAATCGTCAGTATTCGGTAGTTCCTCGGAAATATCGACTTCGGACATTGTGGCCGAAAATGGTCAATCAAAACGGTTTTGCACACATCTTGGTGATGTTTATGAAAAGAACAACATTAAAAGAACATTTTTCTTACATTCAATACCGATAAAAGTGGATGAATAGCTGAAACAACATAAATTTTGCAGTGACCTCGGTCATTTCCGTTCTTTGACGAAATATGGCGGAAAATCGAACGAAGTGCCCATAGTCTCTAACTCATATATTTCAAAAATTCTCGTACATATATATTTGATAATAAATGCAGATTTTCATCAACATTGTTGTTGTATATGGATATGGGCCATTTAAACAGAAATACTGTCGAAAAAGAGTTACTGTGAGCATGGGTTCGAGTGTATGTAGGTACAATGTGAAAATGACTTGAAATGGCTGATCCGCATGTTGCTTTCGGTTCAGGCTTCTCTGTAAGTGTTGTATGCCAGTTCCTTTAGCGTTGATTGGATAAACTATTAGTGAAAGCTACATTGGTGTAGTTAGTAGTACTGATATTGCGCTATATCGCTTATTGTTTCGAATTTTCAAATTGGTTTCGTAACTACTGACATCTTGCCCACGTTTTCCAAATAAAACGAATAGAGATCGTTTGCATAAGTTTAGCTCAGCTTGGGAGTCCTCACAACAATAAATGTTAATAAATAAATAGTTGCAACATAATCCTTGGTGCGGCATGATTGAGAAAATTCAACTAATGCGCCTTTGAAAAGGAAATCTCAACGCAAAAAGCAAAATGTGCTCATATATAGACTGCTACTGAATCTTGTGTGAAGTAAACAAATGACTGATCACAATGACACCTACATGAAAATCACAAGACACTTCAGACATGTATACAAAAAGGACTGGAAAAAATAACCAAAGCCCCTCTAAGGAGCATGTTTTTAACTCTGAGTCTCTGTCTACCTGTATTACCATTGTGTCATGGGCCTACGGCCTACAATACTGAATGATTAAAGTTGATTGGAACTCAGTGATGCAATACAATCTTACACAATTTGCTTAAGTCAGATTCTGTATAATATTTTTGGTCCACTTATTTAACTATCTACACATGAGATGGTCTTCAAAATTATTAATTACTGTACAGCAGTTTGTTTTTCCTTTTGCACTCCATTGTAACACAATGAAAATGAATGCAGTGATTTTGCTAAAGACAAATGACAACAGGACATATTCCTGAAATTTCATAATTTTTTGTCGGTAATTGTACTGGCATACGAACTGATTTGAAACCCTGTTATGTTTTCATGGTATTTGTGTCGTCTTAGAATAACTTTTTTGGGATTCCAGTCCAGAATATTTATTCCTTTTTCGAAGGAAATGATTAGGATGACTAAAATTGGTACAGAGTGGTCAGGCACTCTTACTTCATTGGCAGGGCGGTCGGGTAGCCTAGTGGTTAAAGCGTTCGCTCATCACGCCTAAGACCCGGGTTCGATTCCCGACATGGGTACAATGTGTAAAGCCCATTTCTGGTGTCCCCCGCCGTGATATTGCTGGAATATTGCTAAAAGCGGTGTAAAACCGTACTCACTCACTTACTTCATTGGTAATCTCATTATAATCAGACTTAAGTTCTCGCTGCCGCTAAACAAAGATCTGAGGACATCCTTTTACCGGTCACGTCAGAATGACCTTTCGCGAACTTTGACCGACCACTGAAATGACTAACCAGAAGTCGACATCAGCCAGTTAGAAAGCAGCTTTCTCGAGCTTTACGGCACCCTGGCGACTTCCATTTTAGACTATGCTTGAAAAATATCTTGACAGAGTTCTTGATTAAAAATTTAAAAATTGAACAAACGAACATTCCGGAATGACTAATACATGGTTGAAATTGTATGGCTGTGCTTCCCACATACTGTGCAACGCCTCTTCCGTTCAAATGTTTCTCACATGGGAGCGAGAGATAGACGATGATTTTGAAGGATTTGGTCGCATGATTAGAAAACACATTCTGACTGTCACTTTCATGATCTGGTAAGCGATGCTTTGATTGGTCAGATGAAAGGTTGTTCTGATGTGACCCGTAATGGGATGTCCTCAGATCTTTGTTTAGCGATAGCGAGAATTAAGATCTAATTTTAATGAGATTGACTTCTCTTGGGTTTCATCGTGGCTCATGCTTTCAGTGATTTCTTTCCCAGTCCAGATTGATTATTGAGAGTTCGCTTTGGTATGATTGGGATATTGCTAAATGAAGTGTTTGTCACTCCTATCTTGAAGTAACAATGTAAAATGAACAGGACATGTGAAACCCATAATGAAAAAAATTTTTAAGTCAGCACTTGCCCTTTTGTCATATATAGACTTCCACATTATAACCCTATCACAGTGCCCGTTTTGCCATGCCTTTGGTGTATTTGCAGAGCTCCAGATAAGTGCGTATCTGCGAGAAATATGCATCAGAAATGCAGAAATACTCAGTAAAATAAAATTCGGGCGTATCAAATACGCAACGAACATTACAGATATGCTACAAAAAGTAAAACTTGTTGGTATCATCAAAATATTGTGAAGTAACCCTGCGTATTCGATGAGCATATCAGCAACTTATTTTGAAATTATAAACGGCCATTCCATCAACCTTGCCAAACTCCACGATGACAGTTACATCATGATCATTTGCCATCACACTTTCTTGTGGAAGTATGGTGGTATTTTTGAGTCCTATAAAGCTCTCGAACCCACGTGACACCAGTTTGCAGGGACTAGATGAATAGTGTTTTTAAATATTTAACTTAAATACCCACATGCGTAAAAACTAGTGGGTAACAGAAATTTGAATACCCGGATAGAATTACTGATACACAATGATTTTAAGATGCATGGGTAAAATACCCACAACACCAAAAGCTTATCTGGAGCTCTAATTTGGAGTCATTGCATCATGCCTTGTTAATAGTGTTTTCTTGTCTAAATATAAACTGATACTTGTTATTTGTTGATTGTGAAAATAAACCTTGATAATTTGGGATAATCATACTGCTTTTTTGGTCTTACTACTAAAATAGTAGCCTGGATATAGACAAAATAAGGCCAATAACCCAACTGAAAAAGCCTCAAAATTGACATTTGGAAGCCATGAAAAGTCCTTGTATTTTAGTGTTCCATATCTGTAGAAACCTTGAATTTGCTGCCACAGAAATATGTATGTTTATTGATAATACCATGGAAGAGAGAGAGAATTAAATGAATCAACTCAGTTCATATTTGGTATTTACTTGCAGGTACAAATGTATTTATTATCTATTATCTATATATCTTACTAATCGATGGATTGCTATTTTTTAGTCAATATATCAACAATGAATTTACGATTTTCTCCCAATGACACCCCTAATTGTAACTGTTGTAGGATGCACAAGTACAGAAAGTACTGACTTCTATAACCTTGACTTACTCACTGTTTGTTTGCAGGCCCTTGGGGCAGGGAAGCTTAACCAGATAGACAACGAGCTGATGGAGGCCCCAGAAGATGAAGATGACTTCGATGTACTAAATGAAGAGACGTTTGGGGATATTGGAGATAGTATGTTTATTAGTTGAAGCTTTCACTTTATTTTATTATAAGATTGGCCTTAGTCCAAATTACATTGTTTCTAATTGTGATACAAATATTACAATCCAACTGATGGATGTAGTTTTATCTCATGCAAGCTTCGTTGACCTTTAGGTGTGTTTTGACATGATTCTGCAGTTCTTACACTGTGGCAGATGGACTTTTGCGCTGACCTCTCCATTGTGATGCTACTGAATGTTAGGTACAGTGAACTACGGTTATAACAAACTCAGAGGGACAACTAATGTTATTCTGTTATAACTGTATAAAAGTATATGGGTCATTCTCTAAAAAAGTAACATTTCCTGTCCAAATGAATTTTCTTGAAAACAACTCTTAATTCTGTTTTCCGATTACTTGACAATGAAGATATTTATTAGATGTATGCAATATTCTGATCAAATTACTGCTATAACCTCATGTTAGCCAGTAAAATACCTTAAATGTGCAGAAATGTGCAGAAAGTCTCTGGGAACAAATACTTCCCAAAGCCATGGTGATTTATGTAGCATGACATCATGAATTTCAGAAAGGCTAATAACAGCAGAAAACCTGTTGGTTTTCCACTTGGATTCATTATTTTTGGCAACAGTAATCTTGTCCAGAGTAATAGTGTCTGTCCTGTCACCAGATAGTACAAATACAAATAATAATTGCACCTTTGGTAAGCCAGAAGGCTAAGGTCTTTGCAGGTCTCTTCCTTTCCAGTACTATCATGGCACCATATGCTCAAGCAATTTATATTGGTGCAGTGTCTTCGAAATAACTGGTAAATGTTGTCTTTTGATGTGTACTTTTTGTAGGTGTCTGTGCTGTCACCATGCATTTTGGATTCCGAAATTGTTATTAAAAAAAATCAAAATAATGAGTATATTTGACTGTCAGAATGGATGTCAACCAGTGTGCTTTTTTTAGTGCAAGAGAGAAGTGATTGCCCTAAGCTGGCATTATATCATAGTTTGTCTCTCCTGTCACTGTCACAGCACAGACATAGAGTGTTCAATAAATGTTTCAACATATATATATATATTAAAAGACAAAGAAAACATGAATGGTAATGTATTTTGTATGTTTGCTTGTTGCATGAAAATCTGAATATTATTAACATTTGGGTCAATCAATAAACACTGATTACACTGCACAGTAGATCTTTGGTAACAGCACAGACTTTTAATAGTGACAGCACAGACACATTTCAGTGACAGCAAAGACATTTTAGGAATTTTTTTTATCATGTTGACACAAATAATGAACAATGATTCATTCTGCTCGCCCTGCTGTTGTACATGATTAAGAAATGTAGCATATTTAGCAAATTTAAATGAAAGTAATGTTACATGATCACTTCAAACACCGTGTCTATGAGTGACTGTGACAGCACAGACATTTAGTGTTTAATAGAGATTTTGAGAAAGTTTTGTTCAATGTTTCAGTGTCTTTAAAACTCTATCTCTTAGGCTTTTGTTAGCTACAGGAAAATTTGAATTTTTTACTTATCCTGCATTACTCCTTAATGCATTCACTGCTTACTTACGACAACTAGAAGGACAGCGCTGCGAAGGTCCTGGGTGAAGAAATAAAGTTGTTGTTCTCAAGTCCCAATCAGTGGCCCTCCGTCGCTGTCCTGTGACCTTGATGACACCTAAGGTCATCTTCACATCACTGCTTGTCGCAGCACAGCTAGGACGTGTCCAAGCGGAGCTCTCCTTTTGGATTAATTTTAGACCTTCAGTTTGTCTACAATCTTAAAAATTGATCTGCGATGGGTGATGTATTCTTTTCATATTACTTTCACCATGTTGTGTAGTTTTATGTGAATTAATTAGGCGTGAAAAGACTCTTGTCTTTTTTCCCGCCAAAATATTGTTGTTCGCCGCCATTTTGAATTGTGTTACAATCGTTTGCCTGCCAAGGTAGTCATATTGTTTACAATTCTCAGCTACGTATGTATAACATATTCTTATGTTTTTAAATACTACTAGCTTTGGCGTAACAGTGAGTTGCGTATACTAAAATTATTGTATACTTTTTCAACTCGTTAAAAATATGGTTGCCGATAGATTAATATCAAAATTTACGGCTTTCTTCCAGTCCCGCTTCATCAACAATTCTTTTATTGCGTACCTATGGTTATGCGATTAAATAGTTTTTTGTTGGTATTTTTGGTTTTACATTGAGTTGCGTATATGAACTTTGTATACTCTTGCAACTCGTAGTTTTTGCCGATAGATTATTGTTCAATTCTATGGCATTCTTCCAGTACCGCCTCATCAACAATGGCGTAATTGTGTAACTTATGATTGAGCGTGGTACTAATTATCGTGTGAAAAATCTTACAAAGATTATCATCCACGTTGTTTGGTTTGCGCGCAGATGTGCTCTCCAAACCCTAAATGAAAATATAAATACCCTTGGTTTACATTGAGTTGCGTATACAAAAATATTGTATACCCTTGCAACTCATAAATTTGCCGATAGATTAGTGTTCAAATTCTTCGGCACTCTTCCAGTATTGTCTCATCAACAAGGGTTTAATTGCGTAACATACCTTTGAGCATTGTACTAATTGTGGTGGAAAAAACCTTACAAAGATTATCATCCACGTTGGTTGGTTTGCGCGCGGATGTGCTCTCCAATCTCTAAATGTAAATAGCCTTGGTTTACATTGAATTGCGTATATAAAAATATTGTATACCCTTGCAATTCGTATTTTTGCCGATAGATTACTGTTCAATTCTACGGCATTCTTTCAGTACCATTTCTTCAATGGGTTAATTGCGTAACTTATGTTTGCGTGGTGTACATATTGTCGTGGAATAATCGCCCAAAGCTCTTTATCCACGGTCATAGGCATGCACGTAGATGTGCTCGCCAAAATTCAAAATGTAATTTTTGTGTAAATCTCTAATCCAACGAGTTTACTATATAAAAGCAGATTACTCACAATCATATTTTGCAGTTATTCCGTCGTGAGACGAGAGGAATGTCATTATTGCAGAATAGCGAATGACATATGGTTCTGTCATTACCACCCAACCGTTATTATCGGCAGGTATTATGACGCCTGTGATTGCAGAAGTACACCATCCACTGAAATCAACAATACCGGAGGATATTGTGAGTATCGTAACTGCTCCTATTTTTTCAGCCGCCGGACACTTCCAGATACATGTATGATAATCTGTGACGTCAGCGACAGCACCAGCACCAGCGTATCGAGATACTATGATGGGGGTAGATTAGACGCAAGCCTTGATCCAGTCAATACTTTTGAGCTTTGTGTCTGATTTATCTGCGCCGAGCACAGCACTTGACTACAACCCAAGCACTTATATTACGCAAGCGGCGCACGATCAGCTTAGCGCTGTTCCAACATATCCAGCATAGACCTGCGCCGAGCGCAGCGTCTGACTGATACCCAAGCGCTCCTATCACGCAAGTGACACACCATCAGCTTAGCGCTGTTCCAACATATCCAGCATAGACCTGCGCCGAGCGCGTCTGACTGCTACCCAAAGCGCTCCTATTACGCAAACGTCGCACGATCAGCTTAGCGCTGTTCCAACATTCCAGACCTGCGCTGAGCGCAGCGTCTGCGTACCAATCAAGGTCTCTACAATGACGTTAGCCCAAGGCTTACAGTGTACTCGGTTACGTAACCGGCACATGATCAGCTTAGCACATGTACCCGATTGGGAAGCAGACCATCTCGTGTCAGTAACGCCTTCCCCTGATAACAGGGTAAATAAGAGGGACACCACGAGGTCATTGGAGGAAGACTTCTCCAAAACTCACATTTGCTCCGTGATTTAAGCGACCAATATCGTCAATGTTTGCAGTGGATCAGAATCTATTAGAGGATAACCCTATCTGATTAGATCACTTCCAAACTATGGTGTTTTTCCTACAGCGTCAGTTTGACCACAGGAAAATTCATCTTGAGACCGTTCTGACGGAGATTACCGTTACACCCAAGACTTTATAGCGTTTCCAACTGAGATGCTGGTTTCAAGGGCAGTCTATTACTTCAACCTTGGTCATCTACTCCCCTGTTCAACGAACAGATCGCAGACACGCACGTCAAGTTCCCAAAAAGCTTGGAAAGTCCAAGCGGGCTGGCAGGTCAGGGAATTATAAGCCTAGACGCGCGTTTCTCAGGAAGACCAGCATTCCCTTACTGAGAAAGGGAGTGGCAGAGACAAGTCTCAAGGACGATTTCGTACTTATCGCACTATATCATGGTGTCCGTATAAGGGTAGAGATAACCCCACCGTTGACCACAGTTTGATTGGGAAAATCCAACATAGTCATACTGTTGGTAAGAAGAGTTGTAGAGTGGGTTCACAACCCAGTCTTTACTCCGGGGTTTTATCCTCACACGTACCTGGTACTCATGAAGGACCCAGACAAGATGAGAATGATCCACAATCTCTGTGTTCAACGAACGTTTGATACTTCATCAGTCTCGACTATCCATCCCAACCTTAGACTTTTCAGGTCCAGTTCATTGGGGTTCACTACCAAAGGGTAGTATTTCCCATTTGACATGTCAGTGACACTTATGGCTATTTACAGGAGTAATGAAGCCAATAACTATCTACACGTGACGAACACTTGGTTCGAGTCGTAGATGGAGGGCGATCTACTGTATCATCAACACATGTCAATAACTGGGATAGACAATCAACGAGGCAAAGTCGGGAGTATTCTCCTTCCTATTGACTTCAGTTCATAGGAGACCTGTTTAAGACAGACCAGGATATCCTATCTGTACCGAGGGACAGATGGCACAAGTTTCTACTTCTTTTGTCATCTACTCTACACCAACCACACACACTTCGCCAGTGGCAAGTGTTGCTAGGGTTAATCACCTCGGCACAGGAGTTAACTAGCATGGGCCGCTTACAACTGCGACCAATTCAATTTTTTCCTGAACCCTTACATCAGGAGTCAGGATCCACTCAAGGCCA